GCGGAGTGATATTGGACGGAAACATCAAGGGAAAGTCCCGTAAAATTCCGAAAATAAGCCCGGGGGCTTATATTTTTCAAAGGCCCCTTTTGAGAGGCTTACTTTTGGAGGGGCTTATGTTCGGAGGGGCTTATCTACTGAGGGAAATTTTCGTTTACAAATCGATTCGGCTAGCCTCATAGTTCGAAGTAAATTTACCGTTTTTTCTTTGTTTTACTTTGTATTTGAGGGCAATTTTCCAGGTACAAGCCCCTAAGGGGCTTATATTTGGAGGGGCGATTTAACGAAGGGTTTTTTGCGTCACCGGTTTGGGGGGCTTATATTTGGAGCCTGCTTATACATGGAGGGGCTCATTTTCGGAATTTTACGGTATCTATTTTCACGCTAAAATGTTGAGTTCTATTGCTATTGTTAGATCTCTGGCTCTTCCCAATTCCTCGTTCCTTTACTCTAATGCTAGCCTCCCACGCAGTTATTAAGACCTATTAAGGCTTTGTCATGCGTTCCTCTGATCCCCCAGTAGGGTGTGCTGAAACGAGCGGTTAAATTCCCTCTCCTTTGTTCTTAAAGATCAGCTGATGGGGGAGACTGTGACGAGCCACAGAAGGAATGTCTACGTGGTAGGAGGCTATTTTTGGCCTTTCCCCTCCGTTTTCAGCGCCTTAACGTTTGACAGGGTTTGGACAAGCAATCTCTTGCCTGCCTTCCACATCACATACTTTACATGAAAAGCCTGCTGGAAGCCAGTTCACAGACCAAACAACGCATACCAATTTTTATAGCTGTGACTGTTGCTACCTTTATTCCAAACTGAAAGAGAAAGAAAAACCTTGCTCGAATATTTTGTCGATTTTTTTTTTTTCAGTTTCTCTTTTATTGTCTAAACTTTACAACAGTTTGCAACTTTTAATGTGATCGAAAAGCGCCGGGCGCCCTTTTGAATTTCAACCTAGAACTGATTTGTCTCAAAACTTCAATCGCAAAAATTGCAATTATTATCACTGACGTGGTCTAAGGCTGTTATTGTTTCCAGGAAGTAACGTGTAAGGCTTATGGGCAGGCTGGCTTATGGGAAAAGCAATATTAGCTGTTCAATAGTTACTCCACAAGCAAAAATTCCGGATCAACCCAACCGGCTTTATTCCATTTGCACTATATTTATATTTAAGGCTGGTCTGCGAATGGCAAACGCAATCAGACCTACTGTTAAGGGACTTTATATGGTTGCAGTTTTGCAAAATTGTAACCTTTTGATCCCAAAGATTGTCGGAGATAGGTACAGGACGGTACAGGTCCTCGCTGTAATTTTACGTACAAAAAAATAATCTGTCAAAATTAATAATCCGGTCAGTCAAAGGTGCGACTATCTAGTATGGCAATTCGAATGAAATCTCTTCAAGGGTTCTTGGTTTCGTATTTGCTTTTCTGTTACTTTTATTGTTTTATGTAACTTTATAAGATGCAATTTTTATTATTTTTCTTGACACTGACACTTTGGGCCTACTTTTAGTGAACTCGGGAGCATTAACTAGTACCACACAGCCAAAGAACCTTTTCGGTGGATGATCGGCGTTTCTTGAACTGTAAGCAAGAATTTATATTGTCGTCTCAAACTTTGCTAATTTCGGAGACGTATTATAAAAGGGTCGTCTTGGGGATGCCGGAACATAAAGCATCAGCGGTGAAAGAACCAAAATGGGCACACTGATCATAATTTCTTTTTTTAACGCGGTTCTAAAATTTCACAAACAAATGTTATATATGAGCACTTTTCCCATTTCCCTGTCAGCGCCCTTCAATTTTGATGATGCTGACTCGGTTCAATATCGATAATTACGGTCGCCCGCCCGAAAATTCAAAGAGGCTCCCTATGGCCGCAGGTAGAACACCCTGATATTTGCAACACCAGTCAACGCAAGGGCAAGAAGTAGAAATTTTACATCTCCAAGAAAGATTCATTCCCGGTAAAGACTCTATGCAGCGTATTTCTTGGCTGTAATTGTTTTAAGGGCAAGTTACTTGGATCGGGATTGGGCAAATTTTGAACTGTTCTCAGCAGTTCTACGGTTACATGAATCACGAGGGTTAAGCGTGCACAGTTAGCAAAATTTGTTTATCTATTCTCAGTGACTTATTCATTGCAAGAAATTGCACTTTCCTGATGAAATTATATTTTCGTACAATTTTTCTTCGAAACCCCCTTCAGTTTTCTTCTTTATAACATCGTCAAGTGTCCAATAGTTTTTTTGTTTGCTTTTTGTTTCACCACCGTTTTGGAAGAATTGCATGCAAAGCAAGCCGAGACGTGATCGACCTTTGGTTGGTGGTTTCCCCCAAAAAAATACCCTGTGCGTGATGCTCATTCGCGAATTTGCACTTAAACTTTTTATCAGGAAAAATACCAATATCTCCTAAAAAGTCAATAAAGGAGAGAAATACGTAGTCATCATTATAATGAAAAAATAAACAGAGTACGCAACCAACGCAATTAGAACCTTCTCCAAGCGTCAGCAGCACTTGCGAAATGCGAAAGCCACTTTCGGGGAATCCCCTAATAAATAATCCATTGTTGATTAAGGAGTGCTTTGCATTGTTGTCATACCTGCACGACCAGAAAGCACTGGGTTACCCCCCTCCGGAAATGTTTTTTCCCCTAGGTGTGCCACTGCTGATTGGTTGATTTGTTTCAAAAACGAATTTTCATTGGACAATTTTATCACGTGAACAGAGAAAGGGACATTCCCTTTCCATAGGAGAGACGGTATATACAAGAGTATCCGCCATTGCTCGCCCTTCGAACTGCAAAGGAAGTTTTGATACCATCTTGTGTTGAATTTGGTTTTCTTAGTGAAATTTTACTAGACGTTTTCAGTTACCTTTCGCAGAAAGGAAAAAAAATGTCTTTCGAAGCAATGGATTCAGCATCAAAGCAACAACGAAAGCTTATTCCCCGAGGAGCGCAACCGAGCGCCATTACGCGACAAAAACTGGCGTCTCTGACTCGAAACGAAGGAAAATTAGCAGTGACGGCCTCCGAACAGTGCGATTCTGGGTTTGTTGACGACGAAGAGTTGCGGTCTCGAAGCATGGAAATATGCAGTGAGACACAAATGCGTAGCGTTGAAGAATGTACGCAAAATTTAACCATCGACGATCCCGAAACGAACTCAAGACATCCTTCGTCGTCATATCCAACGAAGGAAGGGTTTTCGCAAAGTGAAGAACTCTATCTTAATTACGCTCAGCGTAACGATGTGAGATATTTACTAGCCCAGGAACATTTTAGGCGTTTGATGTTTGTGCCAGACGAGGATGGAGATACGTAAGTAGGATTGTTTCTTCGTAAACTTCCTACGTGCAAAACAAAATGTTTCCCTCGCGACATTGTTAGTCGACCGCTTTGACCTTCAGCTTGGTAGCGAAAAGAATTATGGTTCTTGTTAAGTTCTGGTTGTCTGATGTTTTTTCTTCAACATAAGTTTCCCATTTTCCTTTAGATTTGAAACTGAGGGAAACAGTTTGGTTTATGTCTAGTACGAAGAATACGAAAAGAAAAATTATCAGCTTACAATGGCGCACTGGTGCTCGGTGACCATCGTGTTGGTCACGCGAAATAAGCCGGATCATTTTTGTGTTATGCTAAAAATGTGTGTAAAAATATGCTGTCTTCTTCTGTCATTTTCTTGCCCCTTTTTACATATACTTTGCTGTTAAATGTTTTTTTTTCCTTATAAATAATGGCTCAAACAGTTAACCGCCAGTGCACGAAATCCCCGAGAAACGAGACTATTTCCCAGAAAATATGGATGCCATTATTCATAATAGTATTCATCATTAATAACCTATACTTGTTTTTCTTTTAGAGCTCTACATTTAGCGATTATTAACATGAGGCCGATGGAAACGGACGCTATCATCTCAGTTGCACCGTGTAAGGAATGCCTCGACATTTACAACGATCTTAGACAGGTACGCAAACAGAAACAAACTACAATTCAAATCTTGAGATATTCTGAACTCCTCGTTCCGAAATAAGTGCGCGGCCATCGCAAGAAGACAGTCTAAAACCACCTTAGCTTCTTCAATGTTTCGCTTTATATGCACTTTTGCTTATTGTTTGAGTGATTAAAGACAAATGAGAAATTCTTTTGGTATTTTAGGCACCCCTTCATCTGGCGGCCATAACTCGACAACCCGCCGCCCTTCGACGATTACTAGAAGCCGGAGCTACTGTGGACATCACCGACCGTCATGGCCGAACAGCTTTGCATCTAGCGTGCGAGTTAGGTGATTTTGACTGCGTTAAAGAAATCGTAAGGCCTTTACTAGAGAAAAGGTGGACTGATGAAATAAAAGAAAGAGTTTACAACATGTTACAAGAGAGAGATTTCGATGGTAAGGGAAATTGAAGGTTGCAGAAATTTCGAATATTCAACCCCCGCAGATTAATATTTCGTATCCACGTAAGTTGTTTCGATTTGATGACTTCAAAAATCAGGGGTTTTCCCTTTGGGCTATTGGATATGAAAAGGAAAACGAGAAAAAATGTGCTTTGGAAGCATATTCGTTTGCAGTTTCCGGGCAGAACAATAGTTGCAGTGGGGTTTCCCCCCAAGGTATTGAAGGGAAACGAAAATTAATCGCTAGTGTAGTTTCGTTTTGTCAAGTATTTCCCTCAGCGTTTGATTGCAAATTTTCGCATTCTTAAGCTAAAGGAACCTTGGAGATACTTTTGGCTTGACAAGCAAATTCTTTTTTTGAATAAGAGTCCATTTTTTAAACTCTTATCCATTGGGTGTGTCTATACTCAGTTTAGAGTTGATCGACTTATAAAAATATTTCTGTTTGATTAAATAAATCAAGTTGATAAAGTGAATTGGATGTCGTAAGGGGTTTAAAATTTGCTATTTTGCCTACTAACCCCTTGAAGTTTAGATTAAACTGGGCTTCCTCAGATAAAGTGTTTCCAAGAATTGCAGTTGATTCGCCCAATGACATTCAACAATGTACAGCGCAGTGAACATAATCTGATCAGTAGGTGATAAAACAACATTTCCCTATTTCATCTTCCCAGGTTTTACAGCTTTACACAGAGCAGTGTTTAAAAATAGTGTTCAGATTGTCAATTATTTGGTATCTCTTGGAGCAAACGTCAACGCACAGGTAAATAACAACTAAAGGTGTTGTACTTTTCATGAACTAACTAATATGGTTACTGGACTCCTTCTCAAGTACAATGATGCACTTACTTGTAAAAACAAAACTGTTATAAAACAGTGGCCTTTTTTGCTGTGGTTTAAAAGATTTCTAATTTATTTTTATAGCAAAAAATAACTATTTCTGCAGGTTATTTTCCAAAAAAGCACAGAAGTTTGGGTAAAGTGGTATTACATGAAAGTAGACAACGGAAAGTTAAATTTTATGATCCTGATCTGGGCTGTGTCCTTGTAGAGCCAGATGACCCTTGGTGACTTACTTACTTCTACTGAGCAACAAGGAAATTAGTAGAATTAGGTGCTGGGCAGTTAGGGATTCATGATTTACACAATTTGTGCTCCTTACAATAATTATTGTACTTGGCTTAGAGGAATAAAACGAAAAATGAATTAATCATTCCCAAATCTTAATGCCATTTCTTTTGTTTAATACCCCTCTGCCTCTGATCCATGTATGAATTTTATGATTCGAAACAAGTCTATTAATTTTCCTTAACCGTGGAAAGTACCTAGTACTATGTATAGAACACGCGATCACATTAAATATATTTTAACTTTTTTTTTCAGGATGCTAAAAGCGGGCGTTCTGGCCTTCATCATGCAGTTGAGGCGGGAAACCTGTCTATGATAAACTGCCTTCTACTCGAGTGCCATGCTGATCCAGATGCAATGACATTTGATGAAATCACTCCTCTACACATTGCTGCTGGAAGAGGCATGGAATCAGTGGTTGCTCTTCTATTAGCTGCCGGAGCTGATCCAGTACTCACCAACTTTGAGGGTGAATCACCAGCGGATGTTGCTGTCACACCTCAGGTGATTACTAAAGAAGTCCTTAATTTTGCAAGACAATTCCAGGTTTCTGTCAGGTGAAGAATGTTCTACTCTGTAATGTGAAATGTTCTTGTCAAGAAAGTTCTTCAAATGATTTTGGGAAATCACCACTGATTTAATAAAAGAGATAAAAAAGACACTAACGAAGCAGGCTTAAATTTAAAGAAGATCATTGCAGTTAAAGACGTAACTTATGCAACTGTGAAAAGAAAGACTGACAAAATTCAGGCCTGCTGGGATTTCAACCCTGACTTCTGCGATACGGTTGCATCACTCTAACCAAATGAACTAGCAAGCCATCTGGGAGCAGGTCATTAAATTCAGTTTTGACCAGGAGAAATAAGCAACATCTACAAAGTCCTCTGTCATTCACATTTCGAAAGAAAAATAACCCATTGTCAAGTTTCTACAAGAAAAAAAGGGCTCTGTTGAGTATATTTGAGTTTATTCCAGGCACAATTTCCAATAAACTTTCTTATTGTTTTCCCTTGCAGATCCGTGAGATGGTGACTTTTGACTCTTAACTGGAGCAAAATTAAGCAGCATCAGGAATTTGCATTAAAAGTATATTAGATCTAAAAGCCATATGCTGATACATTACAAAAATTTTATGTTTTGGGAAAACACAAAGTCAGAATGTTTCATTGGGAAAGGTTAAGGCAAAGGGGTAAAGAATGTGCTAAAGCAAACAGCTTTTTATTAAAGGTAAACATCTTACACTCTATGTTATTCCTCTGAATAAGACTGGCCAAAACGTTTATGTTAATCGCAGTGTTATCTCAATTTTTAGGTCTTTTCTTCCTTGTTTCTTTCCTTTTTTTTTTTTTTCGCAAACCAGTAGTATCCAGAATTTGAATTAGCATGACTTGCTTTGAACATGTAAGGCCAAAGCATTATGAAAAATCTGTAGATCCGCCAAGCAGAACCAATGGTTAAAACATGGAATCAAAGCTAAAACAAAGTTTTAATTTTTTGGTCGAACAATACGCTTTTGCTCATCAGAAGCATGTTTGTCTAATTAAAGTGTGATAAATTTTTTTGACGCAGATGATTGTATATACTCTAATGAGACTTTTTTTGGTGTATAGGTAATTTTGAAATCAACTTTACTTTTGAGATACATTGCTTTTTCTTCTCTAGCTTTGAAATCCTTGCATTATGGTAGTTAAGATGTTATAAATTTAACGAGATTTGAAACGTTTTAACTGTCACATAAAATTTATTTTCCGTGAAATACAATTGAAATTGTATTTCAGATTATTACATTGGGTCACTAATAACAGTTCTCTCTTTCTGTAGTTAACATTACGTGGTGTTTTAATAAAGAGAAATTTATTCAAGATTGTTTTTAAGTATTGTTAAGTTTATTCCTATGCATTAAATATCAATGTATTTTATACTCTAGAAAGACTATTTTTCTTTCAAGAGGATCATTACCAAGAACTTTTTAATTTTTGACCAAAATCATGGGCTAATCCCTTTGGAAAAATTCCAATTTGGCAGCTATTTTAAAGGAAGTGTTTTTTATACGCTAGAAAGCCTTCCTTGCTATCTATTCATACTTCCCTTAAAAACAAACTACCAAAAATTTCGAGTTTTTGACCTAATATTTGAATTTGGCGATGTTTCGACAGCTCAAACATTTTCAGTTTAAAAAACTGTAAATACAAAGTGTAGTTTTTAGTAACTACATGAATACTTATGAGGGAGAAAACTTCATCAACAAAATAAAGGAACGTGACAGTGTATGACTGAATAAGAGATTAAATAAAATAATAAATAAATAAATACCTTATTCCTGGTCGAATTGGAATTTGGAAGTGTAATGCACACGTGGAAAAATGTCGGGTCGTTCCTTCGATTAAGTAGGCGTTAAACCACGCCCATAAAGATTGTAGGTTTCTTCACGCCCAACATTTATAGTGCCAATCTTGAAGGACGCAAAGACCAATTTCACATTGAACATTTTAGTTGTCTAAACTAATAAAATATCATTTCTTCTTCTATTTAGTCAAAAGGAAAAACAATCAAAAACAAACTTTCAAATTTAAACCCGAAAACATGGCCAACCCCAACATCACACTCTTATAACATGTTATAAATGACCTTCTCGGCGGTTTTAGAAGATTAAACCAGCATCAAATGTTAAGGCAAAAAAGGATACAATCAAACTCAAATTGTGAGCCAAAATCATAGTTAAACCCCTTTGAAAATCCAAAATGGCCACCCTCAACATCAAACTTTTATAAACCCACTCTTTAGCGTTCTTTAGCAGACTTAACCAATGTCAAACATCTCTTCTTATTCTATTTACAAAAAAATGACCAAAATCATGGGTTAACCCCTTTGCAAAAATCCAATATGGCCACTCCCCACCATCGAACTCTTAAAAATGCTCTTTTCGGCCTTTTTTGCAGTCTAAAGGCATCGTCAAACAACTTTTGTTTTTCTTTTTAGTCGAAAAAACAATCAAAAATAAACTTTCAAGTTTTTACCCAAAATCATAAGTCAAGTTAACCCGTTTGGAAAAATCCGAAATGTCCAACCCTAAGGGCGGGGGTACTTGGGTTAAGTTTTGCTGACGGTATGTGCCGCTGGCCTCTCAGAGCCCTTAGCCCATTATGGTCTATTCTGTAGCGAAATATAGACCCCATCTCAGTCACTTTGGGGCAAATTTGAAATTTTCGCGATCGCTTTCTATTCATGTATCTACCTTATCAATCCTTTAAATAGCTAGGTCATAGTAAAATGAATGGACACATTTTTTAAATTGAGTGAAGAACACTTTACTTCTTACCCACAGCACAAACATTCTGGTATATTTGCTAACAGTAACAATGAAAAACTGTCTTACCCCCAAAATTAAAAAATGTGCGACCCTATTCTGGTAACTCTATTGAAAATGCGACCTTATCATAGTCAATCCAATAGCTAAAAGCAGCACATCCCCATTTAATAGCCTCTTACAAAGAAGTATCCCCCAGTCCATCATCTCTTCTAAATATTATTTTCGCAGTTTTTAGCAGTCTAAACCATCGTCAAACGTCTTTTCTTTTTCTATTTAGAAAAAAAAAACAAACAAACAAACACAAACTTTCAAATTTTGACCTAGCCTGAGATCATGCCCTCTCCCTATTATCCCTTTATGTCTCTCAGGCAAAATCATGGTTCAAACACTAAGCAAAAATTCAATATGGCCACTCCCACCATCAAACTCTTGAAATTGCTCTTTTTGGCCTTATTATCAGTCTTAGACATTGTCAAACGTTTTTTCTTATTCTATTAAGAAAAAAAAAACAATCAAAAACAAACTTTCCAATTTTGACCCAAAATCGTGAGTTAACTCCTTTACAAAAATGCAATATGGTAACCCCCACCATCGAACTCTTAAAAATGCTCTTTTTGACCCTTTTAGCAGTATATATAAACCATCGTCAAAAGTCTTTTCTTATTCTATTTAGACAAACAACATTCAAAATTTTCGGATCACCTAAAACCCATGATCACCCAGGATTTTCGAACTCAAAAAAAATGCTCTTTTGGCCTTTTTAGCAGATTTTGAGGATAAAACGAGGAATGGCATGTGACTTTTTCTGGGGCGGATCCAGGGAAGGTTGTAGATTTTGATCCCTATGGGATTGCGGATCACTATACTTTTTAATTAACACTGTGCAGTCAGATGAAAGACATACAAAATCTGCTCTATCGTTTGATATGTATTCGTTCAACAGTTCACATTATTTTGAACTATTTCTCGTTAGTCTGAGTATATAAAACCATCGTCAAAAGTCTTTTCGTATTCTTTAGACAAAAAATTTTTTGACCCAAACCCGTCATCAGTCGAACTCTTAAAAGTGCTCTTTTGGCCCTATTAAGAAAAATCCTGGATCAAGGAATGGCATGACACGGCTTGCGGAATGACATAATTATGCGGAATGTAAAAAATGGAAAATGGCGCAAAGAAATAAAGTTACTAGAGAGTGCCTCCTAGGAATTTCGCCAAATGGGAAAGACATTTCACTGTCTATCATAACATCAAGAATTTTGTCTAGTGCACGCGAATCAATGACATCATTCGTAAGAAATCGATCAAGAAGAACTCTAAAATTGACTTGTTGTTCGTAATGCTGTTTACATGTAAAATTTCAGCAATGCAATAAACCTGCGCAGTACCAATGCATGTACAATACAGGATACCTTTTGTAAAAAAGGCCATTGTGAACTGTACCTTAGAATATGTTTTAATTTACTTCCGCATACGTGCCCAGGTAGCCTATATTTTAATTTAATATGCCCTTGGCTAAGTGAACAACTGAATCAGATGCTTTCATATTTTTTTAGTTTAGTGTTACTTCAAGGAGAAAAATATTCTTGCACAACATCTTGACCAAAAATATATATATTCATTCAAGGGAAAGATTAAAGAAAAAAAATCATGCTGCTCGAACATTCCCCGCTCTCCCACCCCCCATAACTTTTCTAATAGTCCGTCCCTTAACGAAAAAAAATTCTCAAAACTTTGCGTTACTCCAGATTGGGCCCACAAATTTTGCCCAATTATGTGGCTAGTTCCAGTCCCCGGTCGGTTATTAGCGTAACGCAACGACTTTTTTCTCGTTTAGTTAACGAGAAACGAGCTTGTGTTCTTGTGTTCCACACGTGATCAAAGTAGCGTAAAAATGGCGGGAATCGGCGGGAAGTCTTGTCCCCAGAAATTCCCAGAGTCCGCGTTACAAATAAAGCCAAGCAGGACAAGAAAATTAATTAGTCAGAAGACAAGAAAGTCGACGTTTGAGCAGTTAGCTTTTTTACGTGAAATTCAATCCGTTGAGACCCCGCTTAAGTTGTAGACCGATCTGTAAAAAGTGGAACCTTTATGTCTGACCGCTAATATTGTTAAACTGGCAAAAAGGACCACCTATTCAAAACACCAAAATTTTTCCCAGTCATAGGAAGCCCTTGAACCTCTCACCTTTAGTGATATGTGTGGCCTGGACATTTCATTATATCATACACACCGTTACTCGTTACATCTTTCCTTGTTGCTCGCTGGCTCAAATTTTCTGATGCAAGACAGAAATTTGGTGCCAAAAGTACTCGGAAAAGCCGGTAGTGTATGTTGCTTTCATTTTTAACCAGAAGAGGAAAGATCGGAGTATTTCCCAAAGGCGTAAGGACTATATTTTTAAGCATGGCGGCCTCAACTGACGAAAGTAACAAGGAGAATGTTGCCGATGGAGAAGTGGAGCAAATTGTAACAATGGAAAAAGTTGTAGCTGCGGATAACAAGGGAATTGATTATGACAAACTTATCAGTAAGTTTTCTTGGTTTGTTGTCATTTAGATAGAGGTAGAAGCGCTAGAAAAATGCTCCGATCGATTTGTAAAGAGTACCAACTAGGACTTCAGCAATAAATATATAAGGTTGAAACTATTGTTAAATAGTACTACATGTCTACATCACCGACCAATGACAGTAAATAGACTGAATTAAATCAAGGTTGCAGTTCTCAACTTCCGGGTTGTCTTCCATATATCGGTATCAAAATTATTTTATAATTAACAAAGCATAGATATAATGTTGGGCATATGTCGGTGTATGACAATGGATCAAGAATGAAAATAACATGAAGAACAAATTATGTAATTAATGGATTCAGCTATATGAAATTCTACCTAATTTCCTGATAGCCTCATTCTTCTCTTATTCATGCAGCAATTGCATACTGTTTCACACAAACAGTCAAATAGAGTCAAAACGGTAAATGTATGGGGTGTGTGGAAATCTTACCTGGCCAAAACCCCCAGCGGGCATTCCCACTTCTTGGTAGTAATCATGAATTTTTTTTGTCCTTAGGTTCAGTTAAAAAAAAATGAATGTATTGTGCTAGTTAGTAGGCAGATTTAGCAAAGGTAACATGACAACAAGGATGGCTGTGTGTATAAACTGATGTGACCCAACTGACAGAGTGGCAAAATAAGTACTTTAAATTTACATTCAGTCCTTCCCTCTTGTGTTCTTATGTGATGACAACTTGTCTTTGCTAAACTGTCTAATTTCTCCAAGGCAAAATGTCAAACAGAAAATTGCATATTTTAATTAACAGGACAGTTTGGTTGTTCAAAGTTGGAACAGAAGCATAAAGAAAGGATTCAGCAGCTAACAGGGAAACCTCCACACCACTTGCTTAGAAGGGGTGTGTTCTTTTCTCACAGGTGATTCTTTTTCTTTGTCCACAGAAGCTTTGCTGGTGATGGCATTTAACTGTAACAAAAGCGGCTTGAATTATTTTTCTGTAATCGGGACCCCCTGAATAAAAAATATATATAAGATATAAGATTTCTTGCCATTGTAAATATTCACTTTCTTTTAGCATTTAAGAAGTGTAGGCTTATTGACTGTCCCTAATTAGTCCCATGCACTCAGGCTAAAATACTTCCTCACATTTAGTGTTCTATTATATTCTAATCTACTTATATTCTATTCCAGTCCAGTCCAGTCCAGTCCATTCCATTCCATCCCATCCCATCCCATTCTATTCTATTCTATTCTAGCATAAGTTTCTTGTTGAGATAATTGTGTTGTTTTTTTATTTAGGGATCTTGATTTTGTGTTGGATATGTACTCTAAAGGAAAACCATTTTACCTGTACACTGGAAGAGGTCCTTCATCAGAAGCCATGCACTTAGGACATCTAATTCCATTTATATTCACCAAGTAAGCTGTTACCACCATAACAAAATCACCCCAGTCATGACTAATTATTCTTATTACAGTTGAACCTCTCTACAATGGCCACCTTGGGGACAGAAGAAAGTGGCCATTGTAGAGAGGTTGAAACAAGAGTCAATGTATGGACTGTCCGCCAAAAAATGGCTGTTGTAGAGAGGTGGCCATCAGTGGAGGTTCGACTGTGTATTCATGTTTGTTTTGCAAAATCCTTAATTTTGTATTTTTTTAACATCGCAAAGATTAGGCTGCAGACATGGTATACCAGGTGAAATGGAATAAGGCCCTTTGAAGTAAATCATGATCAAATATCAAATTCTCCCTTTGGTTCACAAGCATAAACAAGGCAATTGAAAAGGAGAAACCAGCAGTTCATCTGCCTGAGTCATGTGGGGTATTTTCTCAGGAACCCCTTCAATGCAATGTAATATTGGCAGTCTTTCCAACCATCTTAGTGTTTAAAATTGTACAAAAGTATGTGCCTTTATTACACAGTGTACAAAGACAATCCTGGCGCTGGCGTTTTTTTGGCACCCTTTCGTATGGACTAAGGATCCAGTTTCACAAATTTAGATATATGCTGACATACTTCAGCCTTTTATTCAGTTTTGAATTTACCCTACCAACAGTAAGTGAGTTTAAAAGAAGGACACAATAATTTCATGTAGTGCAGCGAGAAGACCCTAGAAAACTTCAGGCTGTTAAATAATTTATCCTGACCTTGGTCGTGCATTTAAACTTGTTTCCAAATCAAGTGTTGCGACTGTAACTTAAGGCTTGCAAGGTTCAGAGGTTTATTATATTTAATATTTACTATATAGGAAAAAAAGTGAAAAAAATTGAGGAGCATTCTTTGAAAACTGGGAAACAGTGAACTAACTGTTCTAACTGAACTAGCTTCTTAGCCAGTTCTAAAAGAATAATCTGCACATTTTAATTCAGATATCTGCAGGATGCCTTCAATGTTCCATTGGTAATCCAGCTTACAGATGATGAAAAGTTTTTCCTGAAGGACTTGGAATGTGAGGAAGCTCATAGACTGGCTTATGAAAATGCCAAAGATATAATAGCTTGTGGCTTTGATGTCAAGAAGACGTTTATCTTCTCTGATATCGATTACATAGGGTAAGTATGATGACCATGGTCTTGGATTGTGATGAAATGATGATGAGGGTAAATGCTAATTTAAATACTAATTTATTGGTCGCAGTAGTAACGGCTGTTGTTAAGAGGTGGGGGCAGGGGATTTCCCTTGGCCACTATGAACATGGTCCCTGGCTACTTTCATAGTAAAATAGAAGAAAAATAGAACCAAAAGTAACCCATAACTGTGTCATTTCCCGCCGACTTGTTGTATTTACCCGGAAACTTGAAATCTTAATATGAATAGATTAACATAATAATAAGCAATTTTTGCTAAAACTACATGACAGTGTATTCTTTTTTCTTTCTAACTTTCAGGAGCAGCTCAGAATTTTACAAGAATATCATCAAGATTCAGAGATGTGTGACTTATAACCAAGTTAAGGCCATCTTTGGATTTGATGACAGTTCATGTATAGGCAAAATAGCTTTTCCTGCCATTCAAGCTGCACCATCATTCAGCCACTCCTTTCCCCATACATTTGGAAGCAGAAAGGATGTCCCATGTCTTATTCCATGTGCCATAGATCAGGTACACTGTAAAAAGTGGTAATAATGTGTACATAAATATATTGGGTATTGATCAGGGCCTAGCTAGGACTTCTATAGGAGGAGATGGGGGGTCACATTGTTTCAAACCATAGTTAGTAGAGGGGACCCCCATCATGCAGATGTTACAGTTCAAAATTAAATTCAGGTTAAAATCTGTTATCCTGTTAATAATTTAAAGGAATCTTTTCTTACTTTTTCAGGATCCATACTTCAGAATGACTCGTGATGTTGCTCCACGGCTGGGTTGCCCAAAACCGTCTCTGATATTTTCCACATTCTTTCCAGCCCTTCAAGGTGCTAAAACAAAAATGAGTTCCAGTGATCCAACTTCTTCTATATTCCTTACTGACACACCTGCTCAAATTAAGAAGAAGGTAGATATTTTCATTAATTTGTTCTTTTAAGCACCTGATTCCAGGGGGTACTTCAAAAAGTTTCATACAGGGAGGAGGTGCAACCCCAAATAAATACAAATACCCCAAATACCCCTTTGCCAAATAGTTCCTGTGGGAAAATTTGATGTAAATTTGCGAAAAGCGCCTGAGTACCGAACTATTACCCTAATTCAAAACCAAGTGTGGTTTAGCACAAAACTTCATGTAGACAAAGAATGAGGAAATTCTTAGTGTTTGATGTGATGAAATAGGGAAAATGTCATCTGAAAAAACAAATTTTGCTTTGGGTTTGGTTACCATGGCAACTTGCTGTAGCTTACAAAAACAGTTCTTTGGTATCCAAGAGTGCTTACCACTTTGGCTATTTGTGTTCTTTTTGCCTTTCTGAATTTTTGTTTTGGCTCTATCACAGTTAAGTTGAGACACTATGGTCTCTGTTAAGATCAAGCACACATGTGTAAATAGACAACAAATATCCTAAGAGGGGGGTATTTGCATCTGTCATATCTCAGTAGTTAGCATGGGGACACTCCATTTTTTATTTTCATTTCTGAATGTATTGAATTTCACATAGGGAATGTTTGACAAAAATTTCAGTGTAACTTCAATTTCAGAGAAATAACCTTAAGCACAGACAGATTCAGGCTGGGTTAAGCTTGCAAATAAAAAGAATCTCTCGATGACTATTGATGAGACAGTCAAATAATTAAGTGAACCTTTTGCAAGCATATGGAACTGCTCAAATCACGCATGTATTGGGGCAATGCATGTGATTGTTTGACACTGAAGGTATAATAAGTTCTTATTCATTGCCACAGGTAAATAAGTATGCTTTTTCTGGAGGCCGAGATACAGTTGAAGATCACAGAAAGTATGGTGGAGATATCACTGTGGATATCGCTTATCAGTATCTCACTTTCTTCCTGGAAGATGACGAAAAACTTGCTCAGATAAAAGAGGTACTTAATTTTCTTTTAATGTGACTACAATAGTGCTTCTCTTTACCATAATATTTATCTCTATAATAGGCATTCTCCATATTATCCACTAAAGTTATCCATCTGTATTAAGATGGACACCTTTGGGACTGGCAAGAAGTATCCATCTTTAATAGAGAGATGTCCATGCATCCCCAGAATGATAGTCAAAAAAGAAGCAAAGAGAGACAGGGACCAACTCTAGGTGTTTTTCTTAGTCAACAGCCTTGGAAGTGGGGAATAAAGGAGAGGCTCCTCTGCTATTTCCCCCTCCCTACACCTAGCGAGCCTTTTTCTCTTTTCCCCCACCAAGGAACCTGGTGTTGTGAAGTATTACTGTCTCTAATTCAAAATAATTATGTTTTCCAGGATTATTCAAGTGGCAAAATGCTTTCAGGAGAAATAAAAAAGGAACTGATTTCTGTGCTACAGCCATTAGTCGCAGAGCATCAAGAAAGAAGAAAACATGTCACGGAAGAAGTTGTTAGAGAATTTATGACTCCAAGAAAACTGGAATTCCCTGGTCTTAACAAATGAATGCAAATGAGATGCAGATTCAATCAATTTGCAATATAAACTTAAAAATATCATTTGGATAGCTGCTGTTTCATATTAAAGTGGGTAATCAAACTCAGATTTATTAAAACATTTGAAGAATATTAACATTATTGGAGTGTGATGTGCAACACTCTGCTCCTTCCATTATTGGTGCTAATATTATTATTATTGGACCTCTTCTTTTTATTGGTCCATAATCTGTACCTTCCTCAGGTACTTAATAACGAGCTTAAGCCATGAGGATAGCAACGGTATGGACAACATTACCTAAAAAGTGAATTTGTGCTGTTTCAAACTTTATTGCTCTTTTAATATTCCAACCCTTTTAATTTGGTCAAATAATGACGATTTGTTCAGGAGTTGAATTCTAAAGGACTGTATCTAAGTTTAGGAAATGAAAAACAAAATCATTGCCTTTTGTTCGTGTCCTCCAACGTGAAGTTAGGAAGTTTCACGTTGTACAATGATGACAAAGCACTGTACAAAAAAGCATGATGCACCTGCTTTTTTGCCGTTCTTGTTGCCGTCGCCATTGTTGTTGCTTAAGCTCTATAATACCAGTGTGTTACCAGCCAAGAATTAGGTGCATTTTTTGATCCTTTATCTAGACAGTGTTTTGTGAACTGCAAACAGTGATCACTGTTCAAGTTTATGGCCAGTACATGTGCAGTTGTCTGAAGAGTGATCAAAGAATGTGAAGATGTTCATCTTAATAAAAACTTCGAGAAAATTCCTGTATGATTTGTTTTTGCAACCAGAAAATTAGACTCCTGGTATTAAAAGCTAAGTTTTTACAAGCAACGACCTGATTGACATTAGACTTTTGAGGCTCTTTTGCAGAGAACAGGCCTGACATTGTTTAGTTGTCTCCAAAGTGAAGCACTAAATCAAAATGATTACCATTTGTTCTCTGTAGATTAAACCTCACATCCCAAGACAATGTAGGAAATATTAAACTATTTTTTCTTAACCACTGTGTTAATTTCCTGTTGTGTTGCAACCAGTATCTTTATTTCCTCTCACAAAAGTGAATGATAAACCTGTTAAGTAATACATCCTTCAAGAAAAATATTAATATCAAAATAGTACAAAATCATCATAAAAAGCAAGAAACAAAATTCATATATTCATATATGTAAAATAGCTGTAAAAAGGAGATCATAGCATTTATTCATAGTAATCAATAACGAACCTCTGTCAAGCTGCCATTAAGTAGCCATCCTCTATTTTTTGACAATTTGTTGAGTGCACAAGCAAAGTGAGGGTGTAGCAGCAGGCATGAAGTACAGGAAAGTTGGCAAGAGTCAAGTTTCTTCTAAATTTTCAGCGGCTGCTACAATCGCTACTTTTGAGATAAATGGCTGAAAATTTACAGGTTACCTAAATTTATATGCTTCTTCAGTTCCCGCTAAAATCATTTTTTTCAAAAAAGAATGGTTTTCATCTTTGCAGAAAGTATATCATGTGGCCTATTAAGGCCTATTAGATGGACATCAAATGAATGTGCTTTTTGCTTCAACCCCCCAGGCAAACAACACACTAACCTTTGGGTGTCCTGTGCTTTCTTGGGTGTCCTGTCTCTAGGTGTTAGATTTACATTTGTCAGAAGGATTTTTAGCAAGTATTTCCAGTGGTGTCATGATAACCAAACTTCAAATTGTAGCACTCTTATTGCATAATTCATACTTTGTGGCTCATGCAAACAGTTTCAAATTATTTTAATATCAGGGCTCAAAAAAGGTGAATTCCAGCTTGTCCTTTAGCTAAGCAGTAATCACATTTTGCTTGCCCGTAGCCACTTCTTGCTCATCATAGTACATGATTTTGTTAGAGGATAAAATGCTGGACCCTTGCCCATTGCACAAGTGAGCTTTAAAAGTTACTGGCCCTGCAACAAAATCTATTTGTCCTTTCCTACGGGACGAAACTTTTTTGGAGCCCTGCATATGATTGTAAACTGGCCGATAAAGACCTAAGTCACAAAGAACTTGTGATTGTAAGACCCCTTGTAGTCTTTAATCCAACAACTATCAATAATGGCCCAGTCAGGTTCTGTAATATGTAGAATTTGTATGTCAGTTCATCGTTTCTGAGATGATGTTTATGGCCCAGTAGATGCTTGAAGCATTATTACAAAATACTACAAATATGTATAATAAACCTTTAAATAGTTTTTTATGCTGTTTTGACTGGGAGTGACCGACTTTACGAAACATTTAATGTTGGGGAGGATCTTGGAAAAGTTTATGCTGCATCCTTGCTCTTTTCTTCCCCTTCAGCAGATTTGTCCAAACTCTCTTGTTCCTCAGAGTCTTGCATTTTTTGGTTTAAACAGTCATTAATTTGACCAATTAAGTCAGCACTTACGCCAGTTTCTGTCAAAACAAGTTCCACCATTCTTGTTGGATAATTAGCAAGGACGGTGAAAAACATTTCTCCACCTTTTTCACCGATGTTGCAACCCTCCAAGTCGACTCTTTCTAATGTTGAACTGGCTGCCAGTGCAACTGAAAGCACACGAGCTTCATTATCGCCAATGTTGTTGTAGTCAAGGTAAAGGAAGCACAGCTGTGAATTGGCAGCTATGGCAATAGCAAGCTGCGTCCAGCCCTGGGGTGAAATACTTGGGTTAGCTGACAGTGTGAGGTCCAGTAAACCTTGTCTTCCTTCACTTGGAGGAAGGAGTGTGCATATTTGTCTTATGCCCTCATCTCCTAACTGACAATCACCAAAGTCCAATGATTGGAGTTTAGGATGGGCTTGTAGTGCAGGCATAAGGCATTCCAGACCTTCATCACCAAGAGATGTACCATGTAAGCTACAACAAAATTTTTTTGAAATATTCAAGATCAGCTTTCGTTAAGCATACACTGAAGACCACTGACTGGAGCTCATTATAGTTTGGAGGGGTGCAAGGAATAAGGCCTTATCATGACTTTGGATGCACTATCAAATTCCCCATAATTGTTTCATGAGCAATTAAAAGGCAATTTGGAAGGAGAATCTAGCAGCTCACTAGAAGTCATATGGGTGCTTGTTTCTTAATTATGTTTATTATACCCGACAACTGGAACAACTCTTTTGGTCTTAAGATACACACTTAATTTGCACTTAGCATGAAGGAGGCATGTGTGGCTGAGTGGTTAACACCATGGAACTCCAGATCTGGAGGTCCAGGGTTCAAGCCTCGCCCGTCACGTTGTTTCCTTAGACAGGGAACTTTACTCCACTTTGTCTCTCTTCACCCAGGTGTATAAATGGGTACGGGTGACATACTGCTGGGGGGTAACCCTGCGATGGACTAGCATCCCGTCCAGGGGGAGTAGTAATACTCCTAGGTGCTTCATGCTAATGAAACAGGGATAAGCTCTGGCTGTTTGGACCTTTGGCTCTTGCACCCCTTTATCTCTATGAAAGTAACAATAATAGTATTTGGTACTTTTCCTCAGTTATTGAGGAAGACATAACTGACGAAGCAGATTTGTCAGTAGTTTTACAATCTGCCCATGCCTAAAGCACTACGTTGGCAAATCCAAAATGCCCTCTACCCACTGAGTAACTAAGCACCCTGTGCCTTTGCTGTTCAAAAATTTGGATTTGACCTCATCTTTGCACTAAAATATTTGAACAGCTAGGCATCTAAAGTTTTGCATGGTTAGGGTGGTTCCACGCGAACAGAAAATTTAAACACTCCAATTTTCAAACAGTCGAAAGTTCATCTGGTACTGTACATGTGTGAATGACGCAGCCTAATAAATATGTTGTAGTAAATTTTTTATCTCAAGTAATTTATACTTTTCCTTTGACTCAAGTTCATTAGCATATTATACAAACATACCCAAAAACAAAAGCAAAACAAAAATTACCTGAAATAAAATAAATTAACTATAACATCTACAGCTATTTCGGGAAAGGTTGTCGGAAAAAAGTGCATGCGACAATCCCGAAAGGTAATATGGGATTATGATCAATACACTGTTCCTGACATTGTAACTGTCGAACCTACTTTTCTTACTTTCCTTTAGCACTCATAAAGATACGCCCATGACCTCTTGTGCCATTCTTTTAAATTTCTGTGAGGAATAGTCAACTTAAAACTACCCACAATGCCTTTGCCTTTGTCTCATGCACTTTTTCCGACGACCGTTCTTGAAATAGCTGTATAAGCGAGAGCTGGGTACCCACAAAAGGCCAAAGCCCAATTTTACCTAATTGTCCTAGTTGTTAACGGCATTTTACCAACTACAGTGAAACCTGTATTAAGCGGACACCCTCTATTAAGTGGACGGTAGCCAAGGCCCCCAAATTTATTTCCCTTATTTACTTAAAATGAAACATTTTTTAAGCGGACACCTCTATTAAGCAGATGCGGACACCTAAAAAGTACCTAAAATGGTCATTTCTATTTTGTTGCCAACCTGTATTAAACGGACACTTGTAATAATAATTATTAAATTCCACCACCCAACATGCCAGACACCAGAAATTCGAAAGATTGCCTCGAATTGCCACACACAAATTTTTCGATTTTACATTAAAAAACGTGACTTGACAAACTTATTTGATTAGTTTCACAGTACAGTATTGTTTTCTATTTCATTTTATTTGTACAGAGCTTGTTTCACTCATCTGATTTCTTCAAATTTGAGCTGCAATCTATGTTTATGGTACTGTGATCAATTAGTCCACTTTGATAAAGAAATTATTGCCAACATATATCATCATAGTCTCATCATAGGAGTATTCTAAACGTTTCTACTGTTCATTTGAATGGCATTTGACACCTCATATGACGTTATCTATTGAAACCTGTATTAGGCGGACACCCTGCATTAAGGGGACACTACAGCATTCCCTGAGGGCGTCCGCTTAATACAGGTTTCACTGTACAAACATGAACATTTGGTAATTAAAAGAAGACAAATGCTATATATACAGGTCAAGAGCTAAGTGTCATATCTTTTTATAAATACTTACAACAATGAACTGAGGCATTTATTGACAGCCAAAGCTTCAGAGAGCCACTTTATCCTATGCCTTCCATTGCATACACCGAGGTTTAAATTGAGTTGAGCTAACGATTCACATTCCTTCAAACTCTCCATCAGTTTCTTAAAATCGTCATCATGAACTTTGCAACCTCGAAGAGAGAGGCTTCGAATGCTGTTGTCGTTGAGAGAATCGCAAATTTCCTTGATCTCTTCCGCCCTAAGCTCTTCGTTGCAGATTTGAAGCGTTCCTAAAAGCATTTTTGTTGTTCAAATGGGAGGAAATATATATTTGGAACAGCGTCTCTCCGGGAAAATTCTTTGACAATCTTGTCCTTCGCCGATTCTAATATTCAATCGCTATAGTTACGAAAGCGATTTGTGAAACAAGTTCAGTCAGGCGTTATTTGCTAGAACCAACAAAAATCTGGGCACTAGTACAATCTACTTCCGGTTTCATAGCCGGCGCAGTTGCGTAGCAAGCGTTTCCGTGCGTTTCACATATCCCTTCAAAGCTGCAGCAGTAAACATTACGAACAATTTTACGATTTAGGTTTTGTAATTTCTGCGTTTTGTTGGCAGCCATCTTAAAACAAGAGAAACAGTAAGTCTACACATTTGGTGGCAGCGGCAAATCGCGGTAGCCTAAAATAATGTACAATTCTTGCAAGGACCTGAGGACCACTTGGACAAACAGCAGCGAGGAAAAGCCGGATCTTGTTGTAGAACAGGATCAGCAAAATAAAGATTGAAGGCAAGACTGATCGGACAGTTAAGGGTTACACACTTATTTGCGCATTATTTCGACTAGTCAAAACTAGTCTTCATCAGGGGCTAGAAAAGCTAACTGAGAATTGACTAAACGGTTTTAGTATTTTAAAAGAATAAAATAAATATGAAAACAAAATGTGATTGGTGCAAACCTGCCAACTTTCCCGGTTTTCCCGGGAGTCTCCAAACCTCATCAAACCCGGTCTCCCGGTGAGAGCATCAAATCTACAGCCCCTGGGAAACACCTACCGTGGCCTTTTCCAAAATTTTTTCATTATTTCGTTATTTTGGAGATGTCAAAAAGGAAAATAAAACAAGAAGTGGATTTAGTGCTCTTATTTGAGCTGATCTTGATCAGAAAACGTAAAACAGAGCAATCAAATTGATACATATTTAACGAGTATCGTAATTGATCAGAAATCAACCAATCAAATTGCACAATGCATGGTAGAAAGTTGGCGCGGTTTTCGCACGCTATTATCGACGTCGGGAACATTCGGAAGGCCTTCGTGTGATTTTCGGAGAGTATTCGGACATTGTCCGAACTGACATTCTTACAATACAAAGATTCCTAGGCATCTCCAGATTTTTGTACTCCGGAAGTTGGTAGGTAGGTTGGTGGAGAAATACAACAGACGAAAACTTGTATGAAGAGGTTGTTATAAAAATATATGTCAATAGATTAAATTTCATCTCGTCTGTTCATTACACTTGAACCCTATGGGATGAACAGACGAGACGAAATTTATAATCTATTGACGTATATTTTTGTAATAACCTCTTGGATTTATACATTAAAAAGTTTGGTGCCTGTCTAGGAAAGAGATCATGTTGTTCTCCTCACATTCAACAGTGAATTTGATATTTGCATGACAACTATTGAGATAGTGCAGAAACTGATTAACTGCGTTGTTGTTATCGAACAAGGTGAAAGTATTGTCGACATAACGGAACCAAACAGAAGGGCGAGTGTTGTTGCTAAGTACCCATTTCTCCTCTAAATGGGACAGAAAGATATTGGCTAAAACGAGGCCTAAAGGGGAGCCCATTGCCACACCATCAATCTGATCGTAGTTAGTATTAGCTATCAAATATTAAATGGCTCTTTATTGTGGCATAGTCAAGCAAAACTTTTAAGACTGGGCGGGGCAGTGTTGGCACATCACGAAACGCGTATCGCTTGTCAAGACAAATTTGTATTGTCTCATCAAGAGGAAGGTTAAAAATAACGAACTGACGTCAAAGGAGAGCCTAACTCCATTGTTAAGTTTATACGTCTTGGTCCAATCTAGGCCACAGGGTCTGCGGTTAAAGGCCTCGGCGGCCCGACCTTCAACTTAATTTCCCTTCCCTATCTCCCCCGGGGCTACAATTTAGTGAGTGTAGACTGAAAACAGTTTCTCTCTGTGTTTTTTCACAAAATTGTTTGCAGTGTGGTTGGCAAGATAGAGACCAACGCAGTAACTCTCTCCGCGAAATGACATCTGAGGAACGACTGCAGAAATTCCATACTGATGACACGTCACTACCCAGATATGGGTAGTGCTTCTGATTGGATGAAGCAAAATTTCAACCTTGTCCCCAGGGCGCTTTTCGCTGGCTTTGGAGGTGGGGCGGATGGGAAAAGCCAGGGAAAAGCTCCCTGGGGACGAGGTTAGCAAAATTTGCCTGCGATCAGAAGCACTACCCAGATCTGGGTAGTGATTTTGTCCCCTAAGAGTCAGTTACAAAAGAGAAGCCTTGGATAATCTAAATCCTCGCAAGGGTGTCGTTTGTGACAACATCTCTGAGAGGTTGTTACGTTTATCGTCACAGGCTGTAATTTCAGAATCGCTTACCTTTTTGATCAATTATTTCATTTCTATGGCCAACAATATGGAAAAGTAGTAATATAGTTCCGGTATTTAATAAAGAAATTTCGACTGAGAAGACTTGCTATCGACCAGTATCTGTTTTGACTGCCTTATAGAAATTGTATGAGAAGGTGATGTTTGATCAAATGTGCAAGGCCTTTTACTGGAGGCTCTCACCAAATCTATCTGGCTATCAGAAGGGTCATTCGTGTTGCACAGCGTTTTTTAAAATGACTCAGGATTGGAGAGTATCTCTTGACCGAAGAGAGGCTGCTGCAGTAGTGGCTGTTGATTTAAGCAAGGCATTCGATTCCATCTGCCGTCCACTTTTGTTAGTCAAATTGAAAGCGTACGGTTTTAAAGATGATGCTTTGGGTCTTATGGCTGCTTATCTTTTAGGAAGAAGACAAAGAGTTCAAGTTAGTGGTGTTTATTCTCAGTGAAGAGCTATAAATGCCGGTGTACCACAGGGGCCCTTGCGTGGCCCTTTGTTATTCAATTCATTTGTGAACGATCTCAATTACTTTGTATTTTATACGTCTTTGAGGCTATATGCCGATGATACGACGGAATATGCCTCTGATCCCTTCCCAATTGTCTTGCAGTTTGTTATTAATTCTGATCTTAGCGAGGTATCAAGCTGATTTGAATCTAATTATTTAAAGACTGATGCAGCAAAAACGCAAGCACTTGCCATTGGGCCATCTATATGAATATGAATTTCATCGTCAATAATGGGACTGTAGAGACACAGGATACACTTTAAGATCCTAGGGGTGATTCTGGATAGTAAATTGAATTCCAAAGCGCACATAAAAAGAACAGCTTAAAATACGTGGCGCAAAGGCATCGGCCTAGCGGAGACTACGTACGCAAGTTTAATTCGAAGGATGCAATGGTACGTCTCTGTAAGGCGTACGTGCTCCCGCATCTGGAATATTCTAGTCCTCTTCTTTTGGGTATTGGTAATGTCGAGGCTGATGAAATGGAGAACACTATTATTTACTAAGATCAATTTTAAACTATTCGAAGTCCGTGTCATATGAGACCCTATTAAATATAGCTGATATCCAATCTAGATCAACGTCGACAGTTTTGGATGGGTTGTCGCTTATGGTAGGTGGTCGCGTACGAGATGCGGTCGCACATGGAGGTTGGACTGATATTGTTGGATTTGATATTTTTTGGCTATTCACAACTATCTGAAGATCATGGGAGTCTTTTTACATAAAAAACGAAGAAATTCCTGCTTCTAAAGTATCACTAAATCCACACCCCATCATGTTTTTCGTCCTGCCTGATCGCTAGAGGTATTCCCTTTTGCTGTTGTGAATTCTCGGGCTCGGATATTCGGCATATAATTATTTTTAAAGGGTGGAGGGAGGTTAAATTTTGGTCCACAGATTTTTGGGGGATTCGGTTGAAAGCCCTAGGCTTTTGTTTTATTATTATTTTGATTTTTGCCTCCATTCCATCATTCCCGTCTCTGTCTCAAGTCAAGTCATTTGAAGTCTGAGAACCCCCATGATTTTTGATTTGAAAGCCTAAGAGAACCCCTTAAGAAAGTGAGATGATTTTTACTTTTCATTTTAAAGGGAGCCGCTTATAAGTACTGTTATGTTTTCTAGAAGAGGTTGGTCGACTTTTTTAAAAAGGTGATACATGATAAAATGAAAGTACACCATTACATTTGAGATCCATTTCCCCTCTAATTTTCCATGAGGCTATCATATTTAATTGTAAGTGTCTTTACTCTAAAAGGGACGATTTGGCTGTAAATGTCAGTAAAACCACTGCCAAAACAAGCAAAAAAAAAGTTTTTTGATCAACACCATTTTGTTAACCGGTAGAAAGGTCTGAAACTGGTTATTTAACAATTATTCCTCGAGCCCGAATGGGCTCTGCGTCAATAGCTCATGAGGCCAAAGGCCGAATAGGCTATTGACTCAGAGGCCATTCGGGCTCGAGGAATAATTCTTTTAGTAAAATCCAACTAGTTGGTATAAAAAATGGAGAATAAAAAAATTTTCATTTGGCTACTTAAAGCTACACTTTAATTCTTTTTTTAGCGCCAAAAGAGGTGGACTATAACATATAGCCTAGTAGCAGCTCAACCAATCAGAACGCAGCATTGATAATAGACCCCCACTAGTTAGATTTTACTAATGTGGTATAAATATCGGTTACAATAAAAGATCATAAGATTTTTCTCGCACAAATGGACGAGTAGCCAGAATTGTACAACGATCGCTGGTTAAAAAAGTTTCTTCATGCACCATAAGAATTAGTTAGTTCTGAACTTCGTGTATTCGGCTTACAAGACTAACTTCATAACAGTGAGTGTTCGAGTCGTCACAAAACTTCACACAACTCTCCAACAAAGCTTTCCTTAATCAACATTTAGGCCACTGAGCCACCTTCGAACTAATGTTGTCTACAAAATTCCTTGCCAAAAAGACTGTCCTTGGAAATGCATAGACAAAACAGCTGGCAGATGCCTCCAAACCAGAAAAAAGAACGCATTAGAAATTTAAAGTGCTGCTTATAGGTGTGGACCTACAACCACTCCACTCGATTGACTTGAAAACGCAGTGATTGACAACCTGGGAGTTTGACTAATGTGAGAGGGGTAACGAATCAGTGCCATTGCCCTTCATTGCTTCTGGCTTGCATGAGTTCATTATTTATCGGATATTTAGCTATTTTTGCACTTTAATTTCTAGTTTATATCATTCATTTACGCGCTTTTCATCATTTGATAAAGGCGACATAGTCTGATAGACAAAACTGGCTTATACAGTACTGTTATGTTTTCTAGAAGTCTTCTCCTTTGTGCTACATACCAATACTAAATATAATTGTATACAGGTTGACTGTCAGACTTTTAAAAATTAAAAACGTAATACATGATAAAACTGATCTACAAAAGTACACCATTACATTTGCTATGTTAACAGAAGGGGTTTAACAAATGTGCCGAGTTTACACAATCCGGGAATTCTCTATACCATTCTAAATACTCATGGATCATCACCAGTAGTATTTTGTCGGCTCCATCTGTCTCTATAACGACATGATCAGTGTTTAAGGTCCCTAGATTATTGAGGTTAAACATCACGTTTACTTCAAAGGGCAAACGCGAATTTGTACCACGTGACCAAGTTTGCCCGGTACTTATCGTTTACTGTTCATTATTTCTACACCTAAATTACTACTGTCAGGCAATTTTTAATCCATAAAAATTGTTTTGAGCTGTTTTTTATCTGCTCATTTTCTATTTTGAGAAATTCTCAACTTAAATCTGCCATTTACCGTATACGTGAAGCTTAAACTCTCTACTATCCTTTGTGTTACCTCCATTCTCACTTTCCACCTCTTCATTTGACACTTTAAACATTCTTTATATTAGCAACAGCAGATCATAGCAAAGGAGACTGGTTATGAAAGGCAGCAAACATCAAAGATAAAAACAACAGTGCTGCAGTTTATGTTGGAAGCTCCATGGCACCTGACCGTGCACAATCCTTTATGTTTTGTTTTCAAATCGTGACTCGGGGAATAATTAAATTAATGCGACGTTTATATTGGTCATAAGACCAAAATTAAAGGAATGCTATTGAACATTACGTTGTGCACCTTTAAAAAAAAGTCCACAAAAAAAAAAAAACAGACAGGCTTCATAACTAATTCCACTCTATTAGCTATGAGCTGCTGTAGCAGATACAATCATAACAGTGGATAGTGCTGAATAAAACGAGTAGCAAAAAGTGCTGGTCATCAGCTAATATTTTACAAAAGAAATGCATATGATAGCTTCAGTTGAAAACCACCCGGGAATGATGATTTAGGCTGAACCTTATCTAGCTGCAGCAATCATATAATATTAATTTAATTTAATATTAATTTTATTCTGTTACTTAACTTTTATCTTACTTTTTTTCATTTGTTGTTATATTGATTGTTCCTCATGTCGAAGATAAGTCAATAAAGTTGTCGTCTGGATGGCCTTCCACCAGCATGACGTTATCACTCCCTTTTGTTATATTTTCCAGCAGTGAGGTGATTAATTATTAATTTCATCATCTGCCTCAAAGTCAATCTTGGCCACACAATTGTAAAAGCCATCTTGAGCCATCTCCGGGCCCATTGAACAAAGGTGCAAGCTACTCACCTGCTCTTCTCCAAAATCCAAGTCTCTACAGGTTGCAAAACTTTCCTCTGGAATTTTTCTGATTCCTTCATTTTTCAAATTTGGAGCTTTGTTCAAATTTATGACTGTTACATGAGGGTGGAACTCTCTGGTATCTGTTGAAGGGATACCCTGCCTTGTAAAAGTATCCCTTACAACATCAGCCACATCATTCAGTATCTTAATTCCTTCTTTCCCGACAGGTTTCACAAAAAGAACCGCTTGAGGCTGCCATCCATCAGTGAAGTAATCAAGGCCTTTAAATTTAAGTGTAAATGCACCACTTGGCAAAACGTGTTTCAGAATCTCAGTTCTACATTGCTGCAAGATTTTTTTTGCCTTTTCAATTTGCTCCTCATTCTCCAAATGTATAACTAAGAGTGTTAAGTGCAAAGTCTCCAAGGGAACAAGAGCAGGCTCTAGTCTTTTGTCATGAGAAACAACTGTATCCTGAACAGTTTGTACACGAGAGTGTATGCAAAGGTCTGAGACACGAATGGCTACGAAATAGTTTGGTTTCGGCTTTCTTGCTTTAATTACTCTTGCTGTTGCCATTTCGATGTCATCATCATCACATAAACCAGTTAGTTTTCTCAGCTTAGCTTTATGTTTGTGTGGGGTCACCCACGTTACAACATCTCTGCATTACCTTCCTCGATAAACAGCAAGAGCATTGTTTTTAATCCAAGAGAGTCATCATCACTGTCATCATCCTAGTAGATTAAGAATTAACGAGTTCAGGAACACCCAGTAACAATATTCCGTGACCACGCGTAGTGACCTGAAATCACGCCTGCGATCAAGTGCATGGTCAATCCTTTTCTCGTGATCACGCCTTTGTGATAACGTGATCAAGCTGTGATCGGATTGATCAGACTCAAAGCCCTAAGGCTATTAACACTTACCGGGACCTTGATTATTCCGGATATCACACATAAACAGAATCCGAATGATTGTTTTGTTACACATTAACAACAAACACACCATCGCACGGAACACAGTTTGACATTGCTCTTGGAAATCATGCATTGGGCGCGCAACCTACAGATCAGTCAGTTACTCTGCGAGCTGATACCTAACTTATCTTTTAATTGACGTGTACATTTAGTTGGCTAATTAACGTCTTTATACTACTACATGAGAAATTTCTGTGATTTGATTGGCTTAGGGCAGTAGTATTTCAGCCTAATTTGAAAAACCTACATGTGAAAATTACAAAGCTTTTGTGGGTAGTAGTATAAACAAATAATAGCATGATTTGTACGTGATATTTGGCATAAATACCACTCATGATCTTTCAAAATTGTCTCAAATTTCACTCGCCTAACGGCTCCTGAAATTACGTGCAACAATTTCGAAATATCACTCGTGGTATTTATGCCAAATATCACTACAAATCATGCTATTACCTATACTAATTTGACTTTGCGTTATTTTCCTCACTTATATGTGTTGTCCGTGACTGTGCTCACATGGTGGGTGGCTACTCCTAAAATGTTCTGCAATTGGTATAGGATTTAATGGATCCGAAACCAATTGTTGAATTGCACGCATTTTAGGCATCCTACTGATGAACAGTTGCGACACGTAGATATATATTTTTTAGCAACTAATATAATTTGCAGTCTGTCTGCTTTGAATTATCTGTAGGTTGCGCTATTTTCTAAATTACTTGTAGGCTCTTAGTCAATAAGAAGACAGATAATAAGCACAATAGATAATAATCACTACAATTGTTTAAAGTACCTTTGCGTGGCACGCGACCATGTGTAGAAACACTGCAATACTGAATTTTTACGTACGTAAAGAGAAAAATCCTCCTTCCGTGAACAGACCAAAATAGAGGAAATACTGACTACGAAAGAAACTGAAAATTCAAGAGAAACTACTTTTAAAAATATTTTTTTGTCTAACTTTCGCCTATTATAAACGCACGTGGCCCTCATACAAGCAGATTTTCAGAAGTACAACTTCATTTGAATATCATGCAGGAAAACTACTGTCTTAAAGATCTTTTGGAAATAACAACAAGCAACTACTTGAATAAACGAGTTTGACTACAGTAAAATCGTAAAGTATGTAATTTGAAAGCGTACTAACTACGACAGCTAAATGCTTGAAAATCATAAATACGCCAAGTGGAAAAGCTTATTATGCCAAAAAAAGCCTTAGGGATGCGAATTTCCAACAAATACGAGTATAGATATAAATGAATGAGGTTATATCACGATAGCTAATAACAAGAGAATAAATGTGAAGAAAAAAAGGACGATTGCTTTTCAGACTTTTAAATTCACAACTGATGTACGAGTCCGGATACTTTTCCGCCTTCGATCATACGAGTTTGCCGTTGTTTGCGATAGCACCAAACTGGAAGTGTCACGGCTCAGGCTCATGAAATATAAGGCGCTTCAGCAACTACGTCGGTGAGGGCAGCGGAAATGTCACAAAAATGAATTCGCTTTATTTTTTCCACAAAAAAATTAGTATATATTCCAACTCGCTTAAAATGGAAAATGTAGGTGAATTTCCCTGGAGTTGAAGAAAAATTCGTCTGGTGTGTTTAAACAACGTCGCATAAGGAAATTTCTCGTCGAGGTGGTGTAGGGACAGCAAAGAAATGTACCAGAAAGCGTGATGCATGTTTTGCTTCATAGCTCCTCGGATTTATCGATGTGTGTAAACGGTTGCGAATCAGAATACGTTTATAGTATAACGCCTAGGAATCCAAACACCCTAAATGTCATAAATCCGGGAAACATTTATGAATGCGGAAGAATCTCTTGTGTAAACGTAGCCTAACAATGAACCAAGTGAAAGTGGTGACTGTGATCATTTATAAGCTGCAAACAAAGCAGGCAAGTATTATTGATATCGCTAATTGCAACGTATTAGGATCATTCTTAAAATATGAGGCTTATATCATACCTATTGCTCCAAATGTAAGTTGGCTTACAACAGAAGAGGAAGATTAACAATTGAAGTTGAAAGTGAAAGTGGTTTTACGGAACACGGAAGAAAAAATGTTATGAAACTACGGATACAAGCTATAGTCATGTGATACCTTTTTACCAATCACAGGCAGCCGCGTTGGCAGTGTTGGGAAACCCTCGAAATATCATCATAAAGATTTGTATGGGAGAAAAAAAACGAATGATTCTGTAAGCTGCGTATTTGAAAAGATTTAAATAATAATAATAATAATAAGAAGAAGAAGAAGAAGAAGAAGAAGAAGAAGACAGCAAATCCCCTGAAGAAGGACTACTTCTCCGTCCAAAATATCGGGAAACCTGAAGTCGCTTTTGTCTTTGCTGTCTAGTCTTGCTATTAATGTTTCATTGCGTAAAGTTTGCTTTTCTATCACTCCATAGCCTCTTCCAAGATATTATTATTACCCTGTATTGTTCCGGCTACTTACCCAGTGCAGTGCCAGGAAGGTTAGATTTATTGGGGGGGGACAACGAGCGGCTAAGGAACAATCTGCGAGGGGGGTGCAGAGGCATGCTCCCCCGGAAGATTTTGAATTATAGGATCTCTGAAATAGGCTTTTATAGATTGTACTAGTAAAAGTAGCATATTATGCCAGCAACACTGTTTTTTGGGGGGGGCAAATTATGCTAAAATTATACTGGTTTTTCCAAATTATGCTACCTTTTTACTACCATGGCAAATAAGTCCAAAAATACATTTTCTTTAATCAGAAGCCGTTTATTCTTGTAAGCTCAATTGTGAACTGGTTAATACGGATCGGAACTTTCGTCGTACGCGTGTCAGATGTTCCTATCCTACTGTACTTTCCCTTTGTTGACCGTAGGGAACCGTCTCTGGCAATTGCGGCTGATTCTGGCCCGTCATTTCTCTGAGAGAGCTGTAAGTTTCTGCTCGAATCAGCTGTCACAGCTGACGCAATTTTGTCGTAGAGGTATTGGGACCGACATGGATTGCCATGGGAGTTTAAGTTCCCGTACACCCTAGTCCCAGGCCCCAATTCCGGGCTCAGTAAACTGCAAATACCCCCTAAAACATCGAACAACATCAACGTATAATTGGGATTTGGGAATCAACGTGCCTGAAAACGTTCCGATAATTATCAAAACATGCGAATTATGCTAGCAGTGCTACGTTTAAAAAAATGGGAAAAATTATGCTAGTTTTCTCGATTTATGCTAAAATTCATGCTGTCACAATCTATAAAAGCCTAATCTGAAATGGCATTTTCAGCCTTCCGAGAGCATTGATTTCTAGCAATTTTGAACTGACTAAAATTATTGAAGCCATAAATAAATAATTTTCACGCTTTATCGAACCGAAATGAACACATTGAACCGAAGAGCAGAGTGATCATGAAGAGCGTGACAACTGACCAAATTAAACGTGCCCGTCAAAATTATTGGGGGCGCTCAGGGCGCTCAGGCCCCCCGGCCCCTCCCGGCCCATGCTACGGTACTGCAGTGTCACTTCTTTCCCTCAATAAACTGCTTCCGGCTGCTATAGCTTTTCGCATTTGCTTGAAATAAACGTTTCCTAGAACAAGATTTCTCATGCGATGATTGTTCCGTTATGAAGGTAACAAAAACTTTCCATTAAATGAAACATACTCCCCTCTTATTGAATTCATCAGCATTGGGAGCTGGAGTCAATTCAGGTCAGGCTGCATTTTTTTTGGAGAATCCAAAAACGGATTTGTGTTTCAGATCATATGGATTCTTCACGACCAAAAAAGACGGAAGATCCGAAAACTGAGGATCATTTACCATGACAACGGCATGTCCTCGTGCTCCTCGTTATGAGGAAAATAGAAGAAAAAACAACAAACTGGTTCTCCAGGCGAAGACAAGAAGGAAAAGCGACATAAACTAACGTGTGAGTTTGCGAAATGCACATATTTCGGTTTGAAACACGAACGTTTCCCCAGTAGAATACACCTTACGATAGTTAAATTATAGAAATTTGCCAAGAATTGTTTTTTTTTTAACTTGGAAAATAAAGCGGCGTAAGCAGACATACGTACAAAAACCATGACAAGTGTGGGTTAAGAAACAATCTACGAATATAAATAGATGACAAACATAGAATGAAATGTAACTAATGGATCAAAGTAAGGCGCCATCAACATTCACTTAGAAAGTCATAAATTTTTGTCCGGAAAACCGCTTGTCAAAAATACTTTTTTCAAATCCTTTCCCAAAAAACGCTCAGATTCATTGTGAAACTCAAAAATCCGGATTTGGATTTGATCCGAAGAATCCACCCAGCGTGTAGATTTTAAGAATTCATGACCCGTTTTTGGATTCGGAAATCCGGATTTGGGTTCCCAAAAAAACGCACCCCTTCACAGGTGTAATTTACAAGTGTGCCTATTGTTTTCAGACTCTAAAACAATGGCTACACTTGTAAATTATACTTGTAAAGGGGTGCGTTTTTTTGGGAATCCAAATCCGGATTTCCGAATCCAAAAACGGGTCGTGAATCCTTAAAATCTACACTCTGGGTGGATTCTTCGATCAAATCCAAACGAAAACTGAATCAGTAAATTAATAAGGTTAGAGCGTAAGGATTATGTTAAGTACCTTGGGATCTTGATGGATTGTAATCTTAGTTGGAAGTATCATATTAGTCATGTCGAATCAAAGATCAGTAGTACTATTGGTGTAATAGCCAGGCTAAGGCATATTTTCGAGTTTACTACCTCGGGAATTCTTTTATGCCAAACGTTGCAACTTACAATTTCAAAATGAGGCTTGGTAATGAAATTTGGTCATTCGACGTAAACACGCATAAGGGTAGGAGCCTAGTGATAGGCTCCTGATAAGGGCTATTCACCATTTTCACATAGACCAAATGCACCTTGTTTACCCCCCAAAATTTTGCAAAATCATTGTTGTTGTTTGCAATGTTTCCTGGGTCGTCCCAAGGATTTTGGTTTATGTGAAATCGGCTCTTGAACTGCCAAAATATTAAATGGCAGCAAGTCCACAGCGATAAACTATTGAGTGGTGCCGGATGTCACAGTTGTAGACCTGGATCAGTACAATAACAACTTGTATATAAAATATAAAACGGCAAACTAATCCTGACGGCAAGGCAATGAACAACTAAACAGAAGAATACAGTGCCAGATCCAGACCTTGAGATAGGGGGGGCGTTCTCCAAAAAATTTTTTTCGGACCTTACGGCCTTAGTTTGATCTAAAAATAATGGGGGCGGGCCCCCCGGTCCCCTCCCCTGGACCCGCCACTGGAATAAAGACAAATTTGCCCAATATTTCGGTTTGAAAGACAAACAGGGATAAAGAGGTGGAGACGTAGGACATTTCAGACTACTCCTGGAATGGCCCATTAGCCTTCCTAACGATTTTTGCAGTGGCTATATATCCTCGGCTAGTAGGAGCGCCGCCAAGGAACTGATAAGAGCTGTTTACTTTACTTTTTGGATCGGATTTGTTGCAGAGCTAGTGATTCTACTGATTCTGTTCTGTCTGGATAGCGCAGGTAGGGAGTCACGAACGTATTTTGTTTATTATCGTACATTATATTCCAACGAACTCTCATAGAGTCCGGGCTGCCGATGTTATTTTTCTTTGTTGAAAGGTCATGTACCCACCATTTTTACCCTTTCTCACAACAGCCAAATTTTTAAATGTGAGAACATAGACGTGCTAGCATGGCTCACGTGAGATTAATTTACCAATGGTTTTTAGCAGTAAGAAAACAATAATATTGAAAACTTCTAGGAATGGCACAATGCTCTTGAAATATCTCTAATTATGCTACTTCCAAACTAGTAACTGACCTCTTTTCGGATTGACCACTAGATGCATCACCCCTTTTTGGTTAAATTAAGTTATTTCTTGCTGCAAAGTTGTTGATGAGCTGGGAGTTGGCTTTGAAAGCGCAATTTACTCCAACTCCTCACAGTTTTGATCCATGGAATATTCTTTTATTGCTTAACCTTATCTTTCAAGCTTACTAGGCAAATACGTAAATAATGTGTTAATATTATTGTTGCTACTGTTGTATTGATTTTTTCTATTTGAAAAAAAAAAGAACCGAATTATAAGAACCTGACTTGATGGAAAACACTACACCCCATCTCAAGTCATCTCCTTCGCCCAATAGAGGTGAAAAAGTTATTAAAAAGCTTCTGCAATTTCAGGCGCAGAATTTATAGTTTCGTTATCTGTTTTAATTTCAGTGATATTGCGGTTTGTGCAAGATTTACGCGAGCTCAGTTCGTTAATTAGCTTCCAAGTTTTGGACGAATTCTTTTTATTCAACTCTAAGTTGTGCAAAAAATACTGACGTTTGGCTGATTTGATAGCATTGTTAGTTTCATTCCGCGCTTGCTTGTATTGTTCCCAACTAGCCGCATTGTTTTCAATAATAGCTTTCTTTTTCAAATAATTTCGTTTATAGATTTTACGCATCAGGTCATATGTAATCCACGGAGAATGCTTTTTTGAGATCCGCTTTGTTTTCAGTGGGGCATGTTTATCGACAATTTCCATGAACAGGGTTTTCCACGCATCCCACATAGCAGTTGGATTTGGCTCTAAGCTAATTAAATCCCATGGCTGTTGAACAAGGTCATTTAAAAATTTGTCGCTGTCAATTTTTTTGTAATCACGAGTTTCGATAGTACGGTGCGTGCCAACACGTTCATAACGTATTTTTATAGTCATAAAAACCAGTGAGTGATCGCTAATCCCAAGATGAACGACACCAGAGTTAACAATTAAGGGTAAGGGTAAGGGTAAGGGTAAGGGGGAGGCCCGGTCTCGAAAAAAAATTTGGATCCGCCACTGGGCAATTCCTAAGGGCATGTACAGCCCCTTGCCCCGTGTGAGATAGACCACACCACCGAGGCCTATATGCCCCTACTGGTTTTGAATTGGAGTTTAAGTTCTTTTATGTCCCCTTCCAATTAATAAAGACAAGGTGCAATGACCTGAACTGAGGCAAGATCTTAAATCACACCTTAGCTATAGGTTAGGCCTTGATGTTGTCCAAAGTCAGTGATTGTCACTCAGATTCTGCATTTATTCTATAAAATAACCTCTCCTCCCCTCACATCATACATTCTACTGTTTTAAGTCATTTGAAAAAAGCTTAACGGAGCTATAGCAAGCAATTTGTCCAAAATCAGCCACTTTGAACCAGCTACTAAACTGAGTAAATTTGAAAATTAACCGCACAAAACATACCAGTAAAGGAATTTTCCAATAATACGGCAATCACTAAATGAAAAAAGGCCGAGAATATAAAATTGAGGAAGATTAAAATGGACAGCAACAACGGTTATTACTTAATATACAGTATAGTACAGCACAGTAGTTTTTTAAAGTTATAGAATTTTAAGTTTTTTACATGGTCTTTCCTGTGTGGCGATAAATAGAAATACTGATCTTATAAAAAACTATTCTGATTTATTATTGTGCTGGAGAATTTATATGATAAGTCCAATGCTGGGATTCTTTTGTACTGTCACAGTGTTGGATCACAAGCATTTTAGTTTCAGGGTCAGCGTCAAGGCATTTGCCAGTCATGGCACCATCATCCAGCATCAAAAGACGTTGAATATTATTCCATTTCTACAAGGAAACAACAGCACTATATGTTACCAAGGTTAACTCACTTCTCTGCAAAGGCTCCCTTTGATATAGGCCAATTTTTGTTTACATTTTTTGCCTCATTAATATATGCTTATCATTATCTGATGAAGCTAATAAAATAAAATCTCTGAATGTTCAAAAAATATAACAATTTCAGTTATCTCTGAAAAATTGAGCCTGATATATTTAATAGTTTCGGAGAAATTCTCTTTTAAAAACTCAAAACAAAGAATGTATGACTCAGTAACTTTTTTGCCAACCAAAAATTTCGCAGTTTTTGATGGCTGATATTTCCTTCCATATTGCTTGCAAAGAGCTCAAGTCAATCAGCTCTTTCAACTTTTGAATTTAGTTCGTAAATACGGCCACGGCTTCTATGAGTTAAGTCGTATGATAATGAGAAAAAAAACAATGAGATCAGCAAAATATAAAAATGAAAAGTACGAAGGTGCAATGGGAAGGGGAAAAAAGGGAGCCCCTGGCCTCTTTTCAGCTCCACTTTTCGACAAGATCAGCGGTGTTTTATAGTACGCATGCGTGCATACTGTACTACAACATAGAAAATCGGACATGTTGAAGAACTATAGAAGCTGTCAATTAAACTGTGCTAATCCTCCTCCATCGTGGTCTCTAGTTAAGATTTTTACAGACCGTCAGAAATGAAGAACGAAAAGTAAAGAGTGAAGTTTTCCAACGAAGACAGAACGCAAAGTCCGACCAACGAGAGCTGCTACCGGGAAAAGCACATGTCCCAAGAAACCGTAAGTGAAGGAGGAAGTCTCGGCGAACTAGATGGGGAAAACGCTCCTGAACAAAATGAAAATACACCAGCAGTAGACGGGAATACACCTCAAGTACATGAGGGAAATTTAACGGAAGGAAACACCGCAAATACGCCTCCAGACGATCTTGCGACTGAACATGAAATGGCGCTATATTTACAACTGTATTTAGGCCTCCCCCACCAGAACCACTCGATTTAAGGGGTAGAAACGTTTCAGAAAACTGGAGAAAGTTCAAACAAAAATACCCAAAATTGCGAAATTGCAATTGGCATAAACAAGAAGTAAAATGCCAACAGAATAGCTACGCTATGGTAACAGTCACTGGCAACAATGCCATTGATGTTTTTAACTGACTAACTAACTGTTATGAGATGCAGAAGGTGATGAGAAAAAGATAGACAAAGTCTTAGAGAAATTTGAGGGACACTGTGAACCAAGGAAAAACGTTAGTTACGAAATAGAAGTTCTTTTCATGAGCCCAGGAAAGTGGTGAAAAGATTAATCAATATGTTACCGTGTTGAGAAAGATGAGTGAATCATGTGAATTCAGCACTTTGAAAAACTCCATTATCAAAGATAGAATTGGGCTTGGCATCAGTGACGCTAAGACGAGAGAGCGACTGCTCAGGATTTCAGACCTCACCCTGGAGAAGGCTATAGAGTCGTTCGATCTGCAGAGGCAACAGAAAAACAATTAAAGGACATGGCAAGCGACTCATCTGTACATGGAATTGGAATGGAGAAGAAAAATCCACCCTTCAGAGGAGCACCCTCAGCCAATGAATATAGACTCTCTTCAAGCAAGATATTTAAATGTAGAAACTGTGGAATAAGACATGGTGTAGGAGAATGCCCGGCGTATGGCAAGACATGTCACAATTGCAAAAAACAGCATCATTTCAAGAGCATGTGCCGGTCAGTGAAAAACGTCCATGGGCTAACGGCAGAAGACGAAAAAGAACAGTATATGATTGCGAGTCTCTATTGTTTGTAGGATCAGTCACTTCATGCAGAAGTCCAAATTCAGAATGACGAGTGCTATGTGACTTTATCAGTACAAGGACAGCCGCATGCGACTTAAAGTTGACACTGGTTCACAAGTTAAATATAATGCCACTAAAGGAACTCAAGAAGATTCAAGGGAATGACCCCCACGAGGAGATATGCAACCACAAACTGGTTTCTACTCAGGAGATAATCTCACAATACTAGGAACTGTAAAATTGAATGTGAAATCCAAGTCAGATGTTAATCAAGAGCTAACATTCTATGTAGCGAAAACAAATCAGCCAGGATTACTATGTTTTGGATCCTCACAAAACTTGGGCTAATTAAAGTTGTCATGGCGGCAAAGAAAGAACAGGAAGAAACTACACCTGATGACAGTGACAAAACTGCATGCACAAAAATATCTCAAGAATTGAAAGAAGAGGTCATTCAGAAATATACACAAGAGTTTACAGGACTGGGGTGGTTACAGAAACTTGACTACATTGAAATGGACCCAAAAGGTACACCCTCTGTAAACCCCCCTTGAACAATACCAGCCACATTTCGGGAGAGAGTGAAAGTAGAGTTAGATGACACGGAAAAATGAGGAGTGATTCGCAAAGTGGGAGAACCCAATGACTGGGTAAATTCAATTAAATTGTTTAACAAGTCTGATGATAGTTTGAGCATCTGTCTGGATCTAAGACACCTGAATAATGCTATTAAACCTTTAAGTCGCAAGAGTGACCAACACACATTTTCTCCTCACAAAATCAATAAATAATTAAAAGAAACGTTTACGAGAATAAATAAAATGATCACCTAAGAGGAAGTGATTTGATCTTTGAACAAATTCTCTCAACTAATTCTGTAACGAAATGTATGGAGATCAGTTTGGAGAATTTGTAAGTGGATATTGGGGCTTAAAGGAAACACTTTCAGCTATCCAGTATAGAAGATATCACGAATGCAAAACGGTTCACCAAGTTAGATGCAAATTGAGACTATTGGCAGATACCCCTTGATGAAGAAAGCCAACTTCTTACCACCTTTAACACACATTTTGGAAGGTTCTGCTATCAAGTTATGCCCTTTGGAAGTAAATCTGCTCAAGAAGTTTTTCAGAAGCGAATTAGTCAACACTTTGGTGGCCTGGAAGGTATTAAAACTGACATTTATTACATAATAGTGCATGCTGACACAGAAATCAAACATGACCGACGTCTGAGCTCAGTCCTGGATCAATTCAAGAATATTAACTTGACCCTAAACAAGGACAAATGCGTCTTAAAAGTCAAGGAGGTGACCTACATTGGTCACAAACTCACGCAAGAGGGGATGAAGCCCGATGATGTAAATGTTCGTGCCATTAAGGACATGCCTGCACCAACTGACAAGAAAGGAGTTGAAAGATTACTTGGTACTGTCAACTGCTTAGGAAAATTCATCCCCAACCTGGCAACTGTCATGGAGCCTATTAGAGTGCTTCTGCGAAAGGACATTACTTTTCAATGGTTACATGAACAAGACCAACCTTTTCAAGAAATAAAGAGTATCCTAACCGAAAATGGAGTCCCAGTCCTGAGGTTTTTTTATGTGCAAAACCCAATAACTGTCAGTTGCAAAGCCTCACCTACAGGCCTTGGAGGAGTGTTACTAAAAGATGATTGTCCTGTAGCTTAGCTTATGCCTCCAGATCTTTAACTGAAACCGAATAAAGATATGTTCAGATAGACTCGTTGGGTGCTCCTGTATACTGCATGGTCAGGAATGAATTCTTAAATTCATGACAAGATTGCAAAATGTAGCATATGCCAACAAAACCAAAGCTAAATGCGAAAGAACCAATAATTCTCTCTCAAGTACCAAGCAAGCCATAGGAAAAAATAGCAACAGACCTGTTTACCTGGGACAAGTCAGAGTACCCCATCATTGAAGTACAGTTGACTACCGATAACTCGAACCTTCTACGGAAATTGAAAAAAGTTCAAGTTATCAGGAGTTTGAAGCAAATAACCGGAAATAAGCAAATGGATGGGGAGGGAATGCAATTAGGTAACAAAATATACAGGGATGGACATTGACTTTGAACTAGAGTGACAAAAAATAAAGACAAGGAATTGAAAAGGTTGTTTTGAAATAAATCCAATGTCTGGGACTTCAATACACGGGTTTTTTCCAACTTGTCACGCTCTTAAAACATGGTTCGAGTTATCAAGGGCTAAATAGAAAGGATCTGAAGGGAGACAAAAGTTACTTCGAGTTAGCGGGAGGTTCAAGTTACCGGGGATAAAATTACAGTAACTGTATGAAGGAAATCCAGCGGAAATCAACTTTGGTTCAAGTTAGCGAGGGTTCGAGTTATCGAGAGTTAACTGTAGCTAAACTGCCAGACACCATGAGTACCACAGTCATCACCCACATCAAATCTGCTTTTGCAAGACATGGAATACCATCTGTGGTAATCAGGGACAATGGCCCCCAATACTCATCTAAAGAACTTAAAACATTTGTAAAACATTTAATGGGAGTTCAATCACACTATCACCAGTCCACTTCACCCTCAAGCAAATGCGCTTGCAACAGAGAAAAATCTGCTAACCAAAGCAAAGCAAGACAATCGTGATCCATACCTGAGACTACTAGAATACAGACACACAACTATCGGTGACATTGGATCACCGGCAGAAAGGGGTGGGGGGGGGGCTGAAAGTTGGTTCCTGCAGCACCATTCATATAACTTTTCCAGGATAGCATTAAGCTTCTCTGTCACCTTGTCAAGCAAGGGTGCAGTTGTGTATGTGGCAGTGTTATCCACATACATTTGTAAGATGCCTTCACATTCAGCTATATCCGGGAAGTCATTGCAGGATAGTGAAAATAGTGTAGGACCCAATACCGATCCCTGAAGAACCCCATACTTCATAAACATCCTCTCTGATTTGTAGCCATTAACAACTGTTACCTGTGAATGGTTTGTCAGGTAGCCTTTGATCCATGACCATAGGTCTCCAGAGAGAGAGTGAAATACGGTTTCAAAGGACTTCCAGAAGTCCACAAATACCACACCTACCGCCAGACCATTATCAAGTGCTTGTCTCCAATCATTGGCCACCCTAATTAACAGATGCTCAGTTTTGTCCATGCGCTGTTAATTCTACTGACCCGACTGCCGAGGCCCCCTTATGGAAAGTACGTTGTCGTATGTCCCTAATCTGAATTTCAAATACTGTTGTTTTATATTTTGAGCAGAAAGTCATGTCCCTGTCGGTTTTTAACCCATCTTTGTTTCATTTGTCACCATTTTGCCTAGTCTTATGTCACTTGTCAGAATTTTACCCTCAGGACCACTGCCTCTGGAACTCCGAGGATGCTGGGTTGCCTCTGAAGCTAGAAAATAGTTTCCAGGAAAGTTAATTCTTACCTGCTGAGTGTCATTTTCATCACAAGCTGCAGTTTTCACAGGACTCCCTTCATTGCCATCAGCAGCTCTTAAACACATGCCTTTTGCTTTGTTTTCAATAAGACGAGTTGATTGCCTGTAGTTCCAAGCCTTCAATATGTACATATATGTATGGGAACAAAAATAGTTTTTTAATTCAGTTAATTTGATTTGTGGCTTATAAGGGAAACAAGGAGGACAATTTAATAAAACCTTGTACAATGCAGTTGTTAGCTATCGTTGCAGACTCAAAAACAATTCCCATTATGTGGTTGTAGATGACAAAAGCTGCAGAGAAATGCACTGCAAGTACTGAATGCCACTACCACTCTAACAATGTACTAAATAATGAAAATGATAATAATAATAAAAATGATAATGATAAAAAAAGTAATAATTAATAATAGTAATAATGGTAATATTAGGCCCTACTGAAAACCATAATATAAAAGCTTTGAGGTCAGAAATTAACTTCATAATAAGAACTTCATCTGTATTCTTATCGTTACTAGAGGGCCACTAGGGAGAATACTTCATAGTAATAGGTGTCACCCTCTTAAAATAAAGGTTATTATTATGCATCAGGCCTGTACATGCTTTATTCAGGGGCACCCAACGAGAATATAGTTCAAAACCACTTAAACTTAGAATTGTTAAACGTATTTTAGTATTTAAACGGTAGAGATAGGCATATTTTTATCCCCTGGAAATTTTTCATCTGTTCGGATTTCCTAGCTGAAAGTCAAGTGATCCGAAAATTATAGGGATCAAAACTTACCTTTTCGAAAATTTTAGCCAGAAAAAAGGCTCCCGAAAATTCTAGGTGACCTTTTAAGGGTAAAAATCCGTTAAAAATAGGCAATTATACCTTTTTTTAGATGTCCGAAAATCCTAGGAGAGGCAGGCAAGCAAGAAATTTTACAACAAATGTTCCGAAAATTCTAGATCTCAAATCGTCTTCCGAACAGATATTTTTCCGAAAATTGTCGTTGGGTGCCCCTGTTTATTATTATTATTATTACTATTATTATTTTGATAATGTACTGCCTGTGCTTGTAAACTTCTGTTATGCCTTTTTGGTGACCCGACTGGCTGCCCTGGGTCTGCGAGGTATGCAACGTGAAAACCAATGATAATCATAAAATTAAATGTAGTTCAATAAAAAGCATTCATTCATTTCATGCTGGGATAAGTGTGCTGATTTGAAAGAAATTTATGCACCAGATTTTAGCAGCTTCCTGAGTTGGTGGTTTGGTGATTAGCGTATGCATAGCAACATCTTAGGGTCAAAATGTAAACTCTGTTTACACACCCCTCAGCCAACCAGAGATTGCATAGTATGTTGTTATTTTACAAAGATTTATATAAGCCTTTAGTCATTCATTTATGTAAAAAATTACCTGATTTCCTTCTTGACCATGACATTCAAACAACTGAGTATCACTGCCTAAAGGTTTTTCCATTGAATCAATGCACATTCCACTCTCACTTGATTTTATCTCAACTGGCCCACTTAAAGATCAACAAACAATTATTATTTCCTCTTTTAATTAGCCACAAAATAATGTATTTTTTCTGTCTTAATTTGTAACTTTTTTAATGTTTCATGCCAGTTTCATTTTTGCAGTTTTTCTTGGAAATCTAACTTTATAGTCTTGGGGAAGTTAATAAAATAAAATACAACAAAACATGTAGGGGAAAATTGTTGTATAGTCATGCTAAAAAGAGGGAAATAGCTTGGTCAAGTTACAGCTCCATTAACAACTTTTAGTTACTTATTAATGTGGTAGAGAAAGAGAAAGGACACAATTTTTGGCAGTAAATGAGACTTTAGGTTGTTGGGAGTACCCTGGGATAATATGAGGGTGGCGGCAACATTACTCTATGAAGTGCATGTAACAAGGGTGGCAGCGGCACACCTTAACCTGGGTTATGCGCTAACAACGGGTGGGTTGGTCATGTTACATAAAAAAGAGCTCCATACATACACAAGTCTCTACAACTAGCTACATGTTCTACACTGTCTTAAAAGACAGTACCTTGCCTCAGGAGCATTTTCAGGCGCTGCAGTTTGCTGAATCATTGGTTGTGGCTCTGCTTTCTCATTATCAGCGTTACCACCATGTAAGGCATGAAGAGCATGGAAGGCCCTTTGACGCTTTTCTTCAAAGTCCTTTTCCAGGGCACTGATCTTCTCATCCAGACTGGAAAGTGTCAAGTTGATCTTTGCATGGAGCGCTTGAGTCAAATCTTTAGCAGACGTCTTTCCTTCACGTAGCTGAGAGCTTTACAAAATACATTTAACAGTCAACCTCTCTCATGCGAACTTCAAAAGGGATAAAGCCACCAGTCCACATTACAGTGAGGTGTTAACTAAACACTTGTAAGCATGTACTTTGTAAGTCAGTAATTTATAGTCAGTCAGTCTGTAAGAAAGAATGACATAAGTAAGTAAAGTGGAAGTTCTCATAAGCGGACACCCTCGGAACATGAAAAAGGATTCCGTAACTGGAACTGCAGGCCACTAATGGAAATGTTAAAAATACAGAGTTTGTATCAGAGTTGAGTAAACCAAGTTTTGTGAAGCTGGCTGTAACTAGAGCTGTCTGCTTATGAGAGTGTCTGTGACGAGAGCTTCCCACTGTAAGTAAGTAAGTCAGTAAGTAAGTAAGTACTCAGGTAAAAGCCTTTAATAAAGAAGGTAACACAAGACAGCTTTGGCTCTTGTTGAGAAAAATAATAATAATAAATGGTTCCAAGAGAACAGTCCATAATTGAGAAGTATCTGTATTATGGAGTGGTCTAACCTTTCATAAGACATTAACTGATACAGACCTTAAATCAATAATTCCACACTTTATTTCAAGTAATACTGTATATGTAAGTTTTTTTAAAATCAGCTTACCTTAAACTATCAATCCTCTCTTGGAGAGATGCACCCAGCTTTGACACAAGCTGAAAATGTGACAATAATATTAATCTCAATAATAGATGGAGGAATGTCACAAGTATATTATTATTATTATTATTTGAATTGTTCTCTAAGTACCAGCCACCCAAGTGTACGGGTGATGAAATTAGAAATAGATATTACATACATGAACTAAGAAACACTCAGAAAAAAATTCTGAGCCCTCCATGACAACCGAACCCATGACCTTCCAGATATTGTTAGGATGCTCTAATTACCACCGAGTTATGGGCCCCTCACATGGCGAACAGGTCACGGGTTTTGGGGTAGCCACACAGGACTCTGCTTTAAGCAACACACTGACTAACTTGCACCACGCTAGCACCTTAAGAAAGTGTTGTGTGTTGTGGGCTCGGACTTTTTTTCTGAGAATTTCTCAGTGTATGTAACTGAAAAGCACTTAGCACTGAAAAGTATAGGCACTATATAAACATGTTTATTATAATTTTTTATTATTAGTAATATCTTATTATTTCTAATTTCATCACGTACACTTGGGTGGTTGGTTGGCTTCAAAGTGTACACAACTCTTTCTTAAGGTGCTTGCATGATTAGTTTTAGCACTTGTACTAAGCTAGAAGCTTGAGACTTTAAAAAGTTAATTATTATTATTAACATTCGATATAATAAAATTCTAACATAGACAAAATTGCAAATTTTTCACGACTCTATTGTCTCATAATTCCCTGAAGAGACTTGATCATGGTCACAAAGAAAACCAAACCAAATATAGAAATTAATGACCAGAAAGCCTCACAGTCATGTGAATGAATAGCCCATGTTTGCTATTGATTCGTTAAAAATGAAGTACAAGTACCCACTTCATAGCTGAGGTCCAGCCACATAAAACTGATTCTGTGACAGCTAAAATATGAATCATTTCTATTTGCAACTGATTTCACAAGTGATCTTTCACAGCATTAAACTTTTTTCACTGCACATGCACCATACAAGAGGAACTGCTGTTAATTATAATCCCCTCCAAGACAGGGTAGTCTGGATTAAAAATAGCAAGGATGATCGCCAGATTTTTTGGGTATAAAATTATTGTTTAAACTTGAGTGTTTTGCAGGGTGTGGCTTCATTTCAGTAGATAATTTCAAGGGTATTCAAAACAATCTGACATTTCATGAAAGTGTCTGCATATCGGGTCTTGACAAACTGCAAGCCAGCGAGCCAGCGAGTCATGCAAGTCATCATGTGAGCCATGCGAGACAGATGTTAGTTCCCAGTCCATTTTCCTTTCTTCGGCTTTTGGCGGCTTTTGGCTATTTGGCACGAGTTCTCGCTATCCTCGCTCTCCTTTCAATATCGTTTTGTTATCTTTTTCATCTTTTTCATCTTTTTTTAAGGTAAGTTATGTTATTTGTTACTATGGTGGGAACCATGAAACTGAAGATAAGACAACACTAAATGGACATTACACATGCGCAACTGGTGCCAGTCCCCAATTCCCCTTTAGAAATGAAAAAGCGCAAAAGTTCAAAGGAAAGAGAATCCATTTTTTGGCGAATCATAAGCAATTTGACTTTTTTTAACATCTGTAGGATGAACTTAGCGTTCAGACGAAAGCAAGAAAGTCTGTTAAAGAAAATGTATGAAAATACCCCTTCAATGACGTCATAGCTTTTTCGATAAATGTGAATTTTGAGAACGAACGTTAAACTTGTTAGTAAGTCAGATTTTTTATTACGATATTCTTAAGCCATTGGCATTGGTTTTATTGTGAAAGATGAAAGACATTTGGGTTTTAAAGAGTGTTTTTTTTTTATATTCTGGTCACGTGACTTACCACATATGGTGTGACTCATTATAGTCAGGTCTCTTAGTGCAAAATATAGGCCGGATCGTTACAGACGTGACAAAAGTGTCAAATTTGGCACAGAGCTTCCTTAGTACCTGCCGATTAATACTGGAGGGGGTGCCCGTTACAAATGGTCCTATTTACAGATAAAAGGGGGGGTTAACTTTCACCTATAATAGCAGATTGGGTTCCCTGTGGTGTGTACTCTTCTTGTTTGATTTGGCTAAAAAACATTTGTTTCAAAGTTTTAAGTTTTTAATTTGGTGATGTTTAGTTGTTGTTACACTATTCAAAATAGTTTTACATGTACATAACACTGATTAGTGCCCAGTCTCCACACGGTAAATTTGGCCATGTTCACTGTGTTGCTATCAGTGTCACCGCTAAGACTTGCCAGTGATAATATCATTACATATCAATTTAAACAGATCACATAGCCAGCCTTCAAAGATGTCATACAATAACATAAAACCCAAACGTATCATATCCTAAACGACAGAATCGTTAAATTTTCACATGCCACATGAACGACCTCATGAACTGTAACTGACAACGTGCCCACTTTGTAATTGTGCAGCTAAGATTAGATTATAATTTGATTCCTTGGTAACCCTGTCATTAAAACATGTCAACCTCGTCCTCAGGGGGAAAAGGAGGAGAAAGAGTGGCACAGTTGGCTAGTGCACAGCCTTCGGTGCGCGAGGTCCCGAGTTTGATCCCCAATGTCAACACATCCTTATTTCAGCTTTTCTCCTTTCTGTGTAGCTTTGACTAGCTTTAAATACCCTTAAAACGGCTGAGCATTGATGGAGAGAGAGGGGTAAAAGGAGTGCACCGTCCACCTGGTTTATCAGTTATTATTACCTTCTCGAGTTATTGACGTAAAATATGGTCGCTTTACCTTTTTCTACCTTTTTATTAAGCCCTGGGGACGAGGATGTAAAATAGGCTTCTCCAGGAATTTTTAAAACTCTTTATTTTTTACACATTTATATTTAAAAAGAAGTGTATGAGGTCCCCGCATGCCTAGACACCTGTAAGGAGCTCATTCACTTCAGAGCCCTTGCACCAGAGTATTAATGGTAGGTCTATACAGTCTTCCAAAAAAAAGGAAGGTCATTGTGTTCGTTACAATTTACAAACAAACTAACTTCAGAAGAGCTGAAAGTTACAGGAACCACAAGGCCTCTTTTAGCCAACCAATGATGCATCATTTATGAAAATGAACGTATTATTTATTTCATTAATGCAATTAGGGGAATACCGCGTGGTTACGAAATCTTACGGTCATGAATTCCTCAAGAGCAAATCAGTTGCCACCTTTCCCCAAATAATGCTGGGGAAAATTACAGAAAATACCAAAAAAAGCAAGGGTCAACAATAATTATGGCGTGGTCCCTTATAATAATGGAGTGGTGATGGTAAAAAAACCCATCACTGCCAAAACTTTGACCACTCAAACAGATTTTTGACAGATTACATACCGCAAAACTTTGCATTCACTTATGCCTATGTTGCCACACCAGGAGCCTAGAAATCGACTCCTGGTCACACCTTGTTTTTATTGCTGAATATCATTCTAAAGAGCTTTACGAAATATTTTGTTAGTAGGGGTGTTTTGAACATGATTGAAATTTAGGGATGGTGATAAAAAAGGAAGACAAAAAAAGTCACAAAACGAGACGCATGAAACCACCGCAATCTTATATTCGTGTTACACCGATGTAATGGCTCCTTTGGCTGCTATGCTGACGTTTTTTAAGATGGAAGTAGTATCACAGCTAGTCCCGGGTTAGGTATACCGTTTATTACCAGTTCCACAGTTCCTGAGACTTAAAGCCTGTTAACATAAAGGTGGGGGACCCCAGGTAGGTAAGGTAGCCTGCCTAGGTGAGGTAAAAAATAACCCTCCTTTACATGCCATCTTACAACCCCGCCATCCTGGGGTGCACTTCCTCAAGATTATTGAATGGTCCCTAAGCATGTAAACAAGAAAAATGCTGGCTACGCTCACTTGCTGCTCTTGCTGGAACCTTCAGTGTTGTGGCTTTCTATTGTTACCTTCAATAAATATGTGAAGTCACCCTGCACCAAAGTGAATTTTGCGTGAATTTGATGCATCAGGAATCCGACCCCGAATAGCCTGGGTTACCTCACCCTGAAACGTTGACATGGCAAAATTTGACCTCAGCTGAGAGGGTTACCCGGTGTGGCAGACCAGGCTACCCACCTTTAAGGGTCACCCCACCTATCATGTGAACGTGATTAAATTGAAATGAGAGATTACATGGACAGGCGGGTTACCCCACCTAAGTGGGATACCATGCCTACCTGGGGTCCCCCTCCTCCATGTAAACAGGCCGTAAAAGTTAGCCCGCCCCCCTTTCTACAGTTTCAGCAGTTAAGCCATTCACCATTTTTCATTTGAGTCAATCTTGTACCACTTGAGTCTCACTTTTACGACTTGAGAAGCTGTTTTTTGGACATGAGTACTAGTGCTTCAGTGCCAAATATAGAGGCTTCATGATAAACCGTGCTGTTTTTTGAAGCTTGGGCTAACTTGTTTCCTTTTTTCGTTTATGAGACCAGATTCTTTTTTGTTTGTTTTTGCTTTGTAAAGCTTAAACAAACTGTGGGAATTGTAAATGATATGACTTGTGCCACGATGCATGCTTCTCTGTCAAAACATGCACGTGCGTCCAGCAGATAATGAGAGACTGAAAGGCATCCAGGCCTATGTTAAGCTGAAAAATTAATTACCCCCTTAAGAAAGAACTACTTTGGGTTCTGTCATTTCGTTATTTGGTGTTCATGAGCAGCTGCCATAAATCCCTGATAATATGTGATACAACAGACTCTTTGAAAATTTCTTTTTTCTGAAATTTTGTGTGTGAATCGCTAGGCCATAAGCTTTCTTTAGCTTAAAGTGACATGCAATGACAAATAATACTTGATAAATAAGGCTTAAGCCACACAATAAAGCCTCCTCTAATTGAAATACACTAGAAAAGGAGAAGAGAACCCCAGAAGCTGAGACGAGGCCATCTTAGAAATGACTTATGAAAATGTGGGTGGACTGTGGACTTGCTTTTAAGGCACATTAATAATTAACTTAATTATACAATCAATAAGCTAATAATGGATGGGAATGCCAGATGTTCGAGTGAAATTGTTGTTTACTACATGAAAAGAGCATTCTGAGTGATTTAAGGTATTAAATTAATAACAATTTTCAATCAAAACACCACAGGGACCCTAGCAGGTGAAATTTACAATAATTAAATCCTGTTTAGCACGCTTCAGTGGCATATTTGCATTGGGCACCCCCTCTAATATTCATGGCACTGCAATAAGCTATCACTGTGCAAAATTTGGTGCTTTTGTCAACTCTGTAACGATCCTGACCTTAAGAGACCTGACTATTAAACCTGACCGAAGAAGAACCTTTAAACCTTTGTTTAATGCATTCTCAAACCTTTGTTATTGTTTCACCTCGTTCAATTTGTATATTGGCGAATTTTTCTGAAGCTGAATTTTAAAGGACGTGCCTTTGGAATAAATACGTTACTTAGCTACAGAGGCTAGGTTTTTTGTAGTTTACGTTAAAAACAAAGTTATTTTATGCTGACTCGCATGGCTCCCTTGATGACTCGCATGGCTCGCATGGCTCGCATGTTGACTCGCATGACACGCTGGCTCGCTGGCTCGCATATTATACACACTCTTGCATATCCCCATCATGCAGTTCTGCTAATGAAGTACAACCAATGCTTACTGATGACATGTCATCTCTACCCAGATCTGGGTGTAGTGCTTCTTCTTTCATTTAAGCCTGATGTAAATTATGCAAAAAATATTATTGTTTTGTCCACCAGCATGGCTGCCCTTGTCATGTTATTGAAAAAAGCAAATTCATTGTTGTTTTCTCCAAGTCTTTAGTCAATGAAATATTTTTGCATCTGAGCAAATACAAGAAAAGCAAGGGCTTCAACTGTATTAACAATCTCAAAATGAATGTCATTTAACAAACCACAGGGGGCTACGATTTCCGTGAACCTCATGCAGCAATTTCACATTTTTTCTCACAAATGGTTTTTAAATATGAATAGAGTTGAAACGTGTATACTTAATAAATATCTTACCCACTGTAGCAGGGGGCTTAAAATTTTACAGAAAGTAACATAAGAAGTTCGTCCTACCTCGTTAGCGCTTTCATATCTCCTCCTGATAAATAAGGTCCCAGATAGAAAGAAAATTGCTGCCCACGCGATGACACCGAGAGCCAACAGTATCTTCTTTGAATTAAAAGACTGCAGTCCGCAGAAATTTGAGTGAACCATGGTAGGTTTGTGTTCGCGAATGATTCGAGGGCCCATATGCATAAAGTTAATTTAAGTTGTTCTTCTTGAATCAATACCAGTTTGCCAATTGAAGGGCAAAAGTTTTTAGAGAGAGAAGAAATATCCTAGGTAACATAAACCTTGATGCACTCATGAGACAATATTAGAGCAATAGCTGAGCAATATTAAACTAAAAACAAAAAGGCACTGCAACGATTAAAACAACAAACACCGGTTTTCAAGCTCATCCCGCAGTGTAATGTGAGTCGCACCATATTTGAAGAAAAGAATACATACATGTAGAGTTCAGGTCTAACAATGAGCATTCTTTCGCAAACAGCAAAACTTTCTCTGCGAAAGGTCAGTATCTCATGTAAGACTTCATAATATGTCCCGAATATATGATACTTTTTGGAAATGTTATTCTCTGTTTTTCCTCTTTTTCTGAATTCCTGAATTCCTGTTACCCTATGTTTTCTCCTGTTTTCCTATGTTTACCTTGTTTTCTCTGTTTTGTTATGGGCTTCTGACCCCGTCATCAGTAGTGTAGGAATCAACGCCAACGAGACGTTGCTCAAGGCAAGCCTGGGTGTCCTGTGGAGTCCTCACGAGCACTTTATCCCACAATTCATTGTGCGGCACCTATGGCGGCGCTCAGCAAGCGTAGTAACTTGCAGTCAATTAACATTCTTTACTTTAGAGCAAGTGCAAGTCAATGAAAGGCGTTGAGAAATGTGGCAAGGTGACTTGTTGGTTCGCTCAGTGATGATGAGTGTGCAAGAGATAAGAAAAACAAAATGCTGCAAAATTGTTGAGCTTATTAACTCATGTAAGCTTAAAATTTAGTGTTGAAGCATTTATTTATTATTTTTTCAAGATGAGACAATTATAAATAATAGCATCTCTTATTTTAAAGTTATATTTGCTACCAAGCCTGTCTTTACTCACTTATTTTTTTCTCTGTTGATGATGGCGTTTTTTGAGAAATTCAGGGTACATCCATTCGAATTCCTAATGTAACATTTTCTTGTTTCAGTTGATGTTTAGGAGACCATGCAACATCTCCCTACAGGAATTACTCAACAACAAGATGCAGTTAAACTCACAGATACAGTTGACAATGATTGTGACAAATTATCCAACCAGTCCCTGGATGTCCAACAAGTTCACGCGGAAGTGGTAACTCAAAAACCTTATAAGTGCAAGCGTTGTGATAAGAGCTTTAGCACAAGATCAGGGTGCAAGGTTCATGAGCAACATCACACAGGGGTAAAACCTTTCAAGTGCATGTATTGTGAGAAGGTGTTTAGCACGTCATCACATTGCAAGAATCATGAGCGTCTTCATACAGGAGACACACCACATCAGTGCAAGCATTGCAATAAGAGATTCAGAACATTATCAGAATATGAAGTACATGAACGGAGTCACACAGGAGTAAAACCGTATAAGTGCAAGTACTGCGAAAAATCCTTTAGTACCGTGGGTAACTGCAATACACATGAACGGTTTCACACGGGTGTGAGACCTCATAAGTGCAAGTTTTGTGACAAGCGCTTTCACCAATCAGCAGATTGCAACATTCATGAGCGAATTCACACAGGAGTGAAGCCTTACAAGTGTAAGTTTTGTGATAAGTGCTTTAGATACCATGGGAATTGGAAAGCACACGAGCAAAGCCACACAAGAGTGAAGCACAATAATTATTGCAATGAATGCTTTACACAGTTATCAGATTGCAATGAAGACGAAGCAGATCACAGAGAAAAACCTCATAAGTGCAAGTATTGTAATAAACGCTTTAAAACAACATCAGACTTTAAGAAACATGTGCGAATTCACACTGGAGAGAAACCTTTTAAGTGCCAGCATTGTGGTAAATGTTTCAGTGAGTCATCAGCTTGCAAGAAACATGAGCGAATTCACACAGGAGAAAAACCTTACAAGTGCCAGTATTGTGATAAATGCTTTAGAACATCATCAGATCACATAAGACATGAAGGAATCCACACTAAAGGAACTAACCAAAATCACACAGGAAGGAAATCTCACACTTGCAATAATTATTGCAACAAATGCCGCAAGCAATCATCAGAGTGCAGCAATGTACTTGATGTCAGAGGAGGGAAACCATACAAATGCAAGTATTGTGATAAATGTTTCAGACAGCCATCAGAGTGCCATGTACATGAACAAATTCACGAAGGCATTAAGCCTTACCAGTGCAAGTATTGTGGTAAGTGCTACTGCACTTTGTCTTCTTGTAAGAAACATGAGCGTACTCACACTGAAGAAAAGCGTTATAAGTGCCAGTATTGTGATAAACGATTCACCGAGTCAACCTCTTGCAAGAAACATGAACGAATTCACACTGGAGAAAAACCTTTTAAGTGCCAGTATTGTGTTAAATGCTTTAGATCATCATCAGACTGCAAAAGGCATGAGCGAATTCACACAAACGAAGAGTCCCTTATCATTATGGCCCCAGCTGGAAGTGTTATAGTAGATAAAATTTGTTAAGCAAGCAGGGAAGGATGCTCGAGATTTTCCAGATGAAAGGAAAGCAAATACAACGGTCACTCCTCGCTCCTCGCCACAAGGGCTGTTTCATGGGGAGAGATCGTGAAACATCCCTTGCGGTGCAGAACAAGGAGAGAAGAGAGAGGGCTGTATTCACAGACTAGAATGCCGCAGACTAAAATTAAATATTGGGTCTCAGTTCTTTGCTCCTTTTCTGTACACAGTGGAAACTAGTTGATCACATCTAAATGAATACATAAAAAAATAAAAGCATATGGGTTTTAACAAATGTATTTTACTTTTAACATTAAGCTCTTAGAGGTGTCAAGGGTAGTTGAGTAGTCAGGTTTTTGTTTTGAAAATCATGGTACTAGAAATACATTGCTGTCAAAGATTTTATCTGTACTGTACCTCTAATATAAGCTTAGAGTAGCTTCCTAATGTGTTATTATGTTATGCCGTAGCATGTTAGGAAAGACTCATGATGGTTGTTGACATTATCTGGTTTGAACTGGATCGGATCAGTCCTTGTAACCCTTTCCCTAACCTTTTGTCATTTAGTGACGTTCAGGGCTTGTCCCAACCTCACCAGTTATGCAGTTTTGTTGACACCTTAACAAGTATAAGTATGGTGAAAAACATTTCAGTGAGGTGGCTCACAATAATTTGCAGTGTTTTTAGCTTCTTATCATGGTCTTCTTTATTGATCAATACCAAAGCAGTTCCAGTTAAGACATTACAATAATTTACTGTAACAAACAATTGCCCAATTTTAAACAAGGTTTAGTAATTTCTGTTGACATTACAAGTTGGCACTTCCTGTTGAAATTCATTGTTTTAAACTAAAGTCAAGTTCATATGACCCCCATCGTTTTATTATTAAACAGTTCAGTGGAATCTCTCTGAGATGGACACCTTATCCCAGGTAATTACTCTAGTTTTAAAAGCAGTTACAACATTGCTTAGGACTCTTAACATCCACTGGTCCGACTGATTAAGGGCGGGGGGATGACAGTGGGGCCAACTCCCATGATCCCCCATTTGGATCCTTCTCTTCCTTTTGAGCAGGCTGTCAGAGGGCTGGGAAGGGGAGAAAAATGACAAATATAGTGAATCTTTCGTACAAGATAGATAGATAGATAGATAGATATAAGGCTATTTTTCGGTGCACCGCTTTAACACAGCCCCTTCCTTCTGCCCGTGAGGGTTTTTCTTGGTGTTTTCCCGCTCCTATTTAGATGGGCGCCAGAGGTTTTTCTCACTTAATTCCTGATAGCTCGAGGCGAAAGGCGGGAGCTTCACTAAACCGTGCGCACGGCTATTTCTCCGGAGCAGGGCAGATAGAGCAAGGGTATCCCAGTCCATAACTAACAACATTTGCTTTAATCCGAAACAGTTTTTTTTACTTTAAAAGTTTCTGATTGGACAGCTGTCTTCGTAAAGAAAGGATAAATTTGAACAGGTTAATTTTCAAAAGTTATGGGCTCTCTGAAAGATGGGGAATTTTTATCAATCGTCTTACGTTCTGTTTACTTGCGAGCGAACTGAATTTTTTTTTGTGATCACTGAATTATCCAAAATCTTATCTGTTTAAAAGTACCGGTAACGAAGATAGCTAGAAGGCGGATTTTTGACATAACGTAACGGCCGTCGCATCCGTCATTTAACAATTAAAAAACAGCTTCTTAGCATTATCAAAAACTCCTCCGTTAAAACTAAGTAAAAGGAATTCACTTACTCGCGCGCAATAGTTAAACGATGATTTTGAAATGATTTTTTACTGATTATGATAGACGTGCCTTTCAAAAGCATTTGTTTACACTGAAGAAAAGTTGTCTTGTCTCGGATAACATCTATCTGTTGCTGTCAAGACTTTTTGTCTTTGAAATTATTCAACTCGTGCTTTTTTGACCCTAACTTTTTCATTCCAAGTGCTCGTTCCAGCAAAAACGCAGGCGCAAACGTTATTGAAATTTTAAACTTCGCCTCTCTTTCATTTTAACCAATCAACTTACAGAACGTTTGCGTACGTCACCATGTGACGTCACAGTATAATATATAAGCACACGCCACACACGAGCGCGCTTCAGTTTGCACTGACTTTCACTGTGTATACTTGACTTACGTCACTGTAATTGAAAAGAAATTGCGCCTGAAATGGGTTGTAATCAGAGCAAAGTGAAATTTTCGCAAGTGTTTAAGAGGAAGAGGGTAAGAACAACTTAGCGGTTGATGAACTTTTCGTAATAAATGAAAAATTTGCCTATTTCATGCATATTTAGCTGTGGTTTTCGAGAGTGTGTAGCAAGGCAGTTGAAAACATATGGCGTCAGCCTTGCCATATAAGGGCACAAATTTGAAATAATTCTGACCAATCATAGAGAGTTATTTGTAGGCCCCATGTTGGGTTAACGTGACCATAAAAGGAAACATTTTTGAAAAATTCTGACCAATCATAGTACATCATTTGAAAGCCCACGTGGGTTCGGTTCCACCATAAAAGGAAACGAATTTGAATTTAAAATGACCAATCACAGCGCGTTTTCTCCATGTCTCACGCGTGCGTGGAAAGATTGAGCCGTTACAGAACAACGAGTGTATTCAGGGATGATTCTTGTTCAGCTCAGAAGAAAGGCAACTAACGAAAAACAATAAACAAACAAAAACGAAAATGGTTATAATTCTGGCCATTGAAACCACAAAGTCTCCAACGTTTCTTTGAAATGTAGCGATTTCTAGAAAAATTCAAACTATATTAGCATGATTTGACTACTGCAACAGACAGCGCGCGCATAACGAATCATGGCTTTTTCAGTTTATTGGAAGAATGAATGAGGTCTTCTAATATCCATGTTGAGAATAAATTTATTAAAGATCATGATTAATAGAACAGTTTAAATCGACAACAACAAATTTTATTTACATATCCACCCTCAAATAATAGCTAGGGAACTAATCGAGGCGGAGCGGGGGGAGGGGGGTAGAGGGGAAACAAGACATATTTTACATTATTAATTTTCAACCTCGGATAATGCATTTCTAGCACTCTGATTGGTTCACTCAATCTTGGTTATCAGCTCATATACCCTAGTTTGACCTTATATGGAAAACAACAAAATTCCTCTCGGACAAAGCGGCGGAAACAAGTAGAGTTCGCGAGGTTTCTACCGACGAAACAACAGGAAAAAAAAGCAGAAAATGCCATACCGGCAGTGTGTTAAATTGTTTGAGAGAAACAGACTAGACAACAGCAACAATTCAAATATCAATTAAGCAAATTCGAAGCAAACTCACTTCAGAAATTTTATCACACGGAGGGTCTAAGTGAGATAAACCGTCATTCCGGGGGGGAACTCCCATATGAAAGGGGCGGGGACGCTCGTCGTCTCGCTTAGGGTGTAAATTTCGGATTTTGGTCTCCCTTAGAGTGTTCTGGGCAAAACGCCATCATATTTAGCCGTAAAGGTCTCTTTTAGGGTTGCAAGCGAAGATATGTTAAAATGTTATTTATAACATAGCGCGCGTGCTTGCCCTATATAAGTCCTATTGAGCCACTATGAACAAAATCTTTATTTACGCACGCCCGTGCGTAAATAAGATGACGTGAGCATTTTTTTTTTATCTGGCTGCAAAGTGCAGTTGTCGTCTTTTAAGCTGCAGTGCAGCTTTCCTGCTCTTTAAAATATGGAAGAAACCAGCGAAGAACTGCCCAATTTTTGTATCGGCTTTGACCTTTTATGTCCTGATCCAACAAGTAGCAAAAATAAAGCCGAATTTAAAAAAACTCGCAAGTTGCGCGTTTCGCAAATTTGTCGGAAGACCAGCTGCAGCAAATTTTGGCCGAAAGACATTCACTGGGAACAGAACAGACACCAACTGGTCATCAACAACATTTTTAAAAGGGTAAAATTTCCTTTTTTATTGTTGTTTTTAAATTTGTTACGCACTTTTGTTATCTCCGGACAATCCGACTGAAGCAGGAAAATTTCTCTCGCAATAACAACACAAATTACACTAGAAGACATAAATTTATTACTCACAAAAACAACTGCTGCCAGGTGTTCTCAAGAAGCCGTAATGACCAGCCAATGCACGTAAATGAATATAAGTTTAAAGAAGGATGACAGTCGTCTTCGCTAAAAACATGTTTTCTGGATTTCGCCGAGCAAAACGTAAACATCTTTTCAGCAAATCCAAACCATACTCCACGACTTCTTACGAACATGTTAGTATTTTAACTTTAGGTGAACTTTAAGACTCTTTTACCTTTGTTTCTGCTTAGTTTCCATTGATCGTTAACGAAAAAAGAAGCACATTTTCTTTCTCAGTTTTACAGAAAGAACATTTTCATTCAAACTAGACGATTGTGGCGTGTTCGTAATCAGCCAATAGAACCGTTTGTTATTGTGTAGCGGGTTACGAGAATTTTGCAGTTAATAAAAAAGCAAGCATTTTTGTCAGCTATGTTATAAAAGAATTTGCTCATGCTTTTAGCTGTCCGTATATCGAGTTATGGATGCACTTGGGAAGTTTGGAGAGCACTCAAGAAGCTAGAGTTGCACTCGGCTATCGCCTCGTGCAACTCTTACGCATCTTTCGTGCTCTCCAAACTTCCCGCGTGCATCCATAACTCGATATACGCACGCTAAGCATGAACAAATTCTTAAATATTTTCAATTCCTTTTATTTACTCGATTCATGTAATCAAAGCCTTTTAGGGGTCAAAAAGAGGTTGGGCCACGCCCAGGTTGGTCTCCTCAAAAGTTCCGACCAACATCCCCGCCCCATTCATATGGGAGTTCCCCCGGTACCGTCAGCCGTCAAAGGCCCAAATTTTAACCGTCAACCGTCGAAAAAGTAATTTTTTATCGTCAACTGTTAAAAATACAGATTAATTTTAACTGTTAAAAAGTTTCAAGGTATTACAAATCTTACTATTTCAGCTGATCTTTACGGGGATTCCTGCTCCTGAACTCGAAAAAGAACGTTCCATGTTTTAGCAAAAAGCTCTTTCTAGAAATTATGAATGTATTTGGAAATTTTATTTAAGTGAAAGGCCAAGAAAACCTCAAAAACACAACAGTTCAGATTAATTCATATTAACTTTTGGACTAAATTTCTATTTAATAAAGTAACCTTCAACCGTCAAAATTGGAAAAAAAATTAGCGTCAACCGCCAATGCTACCATCCCATTGAGACCCTCATAAGATACTCTTTATTTCTGTGTTAATACGTTTTTTTTTTTGCCAGGCAACCAAGAGAACAACTTGGTACGTTGACCTTGGTACGTTAGAATGCAGCCCTCCTCTTGTGCAGCATACGTCACAGAAACCAGCCCCAGCCTCAAACACCCATTATGAGGACTTTTCTATTCTGTCTTTTATGACAAGAAAAGATCATTACGAGTGGGTGGAGATGTATGCTAAAGAACAATTGTTTGAATGCGTGAAATCGTGTGTAAACTATGAAGGATTTCACGAATATGGCTTCCATCTATTATCATTCACTCCAAGGCCCTTGTTGGAGATCAGAACTAACGATAATAGACCCATCCATTCCCTTCCTTGGGGAAACTCCACGGCCTTGGAGTACTTTCTAAGGTAGGTACAACTGAGACAGTTCCAGGTTCATTGTAAGTACCCTGCGAGCAAGCTCACCTATTATGGCGAGCGAGCCGCGAGAGAACCTGCCCCTCGCACTCGCGTCTCCTTTCGCGTGCGGCTCTCGTGTGAATTCTCGCGACTCTCCCAAACGGAAAGCTTCCTCGCAGGCTAATTATAAGTTGCTATCGATCTTTGCCTCGGTTGGAATCCAAGACAGTCTTGGATTCTGGATTCCACACCATGGATTCCGGATTCCAGGTACTGGAATCCGGAATTTTTGTAAGTGGAATTTGGATTCCGGATTGCATTGTTATTGGATTCCTTGAGTTGTATTCCGGATCCCATCCCGCTAAAGCTCTCACAAGAAATTAAATTAGCCTTTGTGAAGAACGAAATTGGAATGAAAGAAGGCTAAATGTCTCGAAGGAGGATAAACGTTATAGTTAGGATATGTCAAGGCGAATTAACGTTTTCTTTTCTTTATCATCCACAGAACTATTCCAGAAGCGATTGCAACAAAGGTGGGGAATGACCCCTTTGTTCTTGTTATCGACGATCTCGATAACGAGTCAGGCTACAGTAAAATGTGTGTTAGTCTGATTGAGAAGACCTGCCAGATGCTGCAAATGAGGTAAAATAGTTAAAAAAATTGTTGTGCTTTCCTGGTCCCCAGGGTTGTCTTGTGTTCCCGAGTAGGGCGGTTGTAGGGAAGACCCAGCCTCGTTCCCAGTCGTCCTCGGCGATTTCGGATGACGTGACCTTAAAACGTCACCTGTTAAGCTTGTCAGGAAAATTCGCTCTCGGTTCCAAGCCTCCTCTTATAACTCGGATAGCGTGAACTGGCCTGGGTGCGAGGCTGGGGGAGACCCTCTTCTTTTCTGCCTGGGGACGAGGTTGGCACTTGCGATTCCATTGTGAGTAGCACTCCATGTAAGGAGTGTCCAAAACAACTGAGTAAAAAAGGCAACTTTTCGTTCCTCTTGTCTTTGCATCTTTGTTCTTTCCTCCTTTTCCCATTCAACCTATTTCTTTTAAGTCTTCTCAGAAATGTAAGTGATATACATAAATCACATGGGATTCTTTCTAGGAAACGGACGGAAAATATTCGAAATTGTTTTCTCCGTGTAATTGGAAAAGGCGCCTGTAATTATCATCATCATCATTATTATCGTCATCATTAGTTTCGGAAAAATTGTGATCATTAACTGACTGATTTTGATTCTTTAGTCTCAGTTAAAAAATATCCGTGCTCGTCAAAAGAATGTAAATAAATGAATAAAGAAAAAATGAGCTTAACTCATTATATAACTCTAGGTTGAATCTATATCTTGTTGATGTCATTCACTGACTACCGTCTTAATTTTCACAGGTTTGAGGGGAGGTTGAAGAGAGTCTGTATCAACAGACCATACGGTCTGTTAGCCTATGACCTCGCGATCAGAAAGCGCTTCAACCTCCCGTTTGCCAGGTAAAAACTAACTCAAATACTTGCTCTGATGATTAGTATTTCACTCTCAACACATTTTCAGAGGTATTGCAAAAATACGGGCTCTTTTCAGAGGCCATCCCCACCGTTAACACTGCCTCGCTACCCAGGCGCTGCTTGGGATTTTCTGCGGTAGTCAAGGCGTAAGGAGTCTTCCCATGTGTCTTTGCGTTTTTGAAGCTTTCTTATGATCCTTGGGCCGCGACTACCGTCGAAAATCCCAAGGAGAGACTGGGCACGAGAAAGTGCTGTTAAACATGCATTTGCAAATAGTGGTTTAATATAGACTAGTGAAACGTTGAGTCAGCTTTGATCAATCTCGTGCTCAGGGACTCGCGTTTAGATAAGGTAGAAGCCTTACAACGTTTGAACAACTGGTGCCTGGAATTGAACAGTTCGCTCCTCCCTGTGCCTGTTGGGTAATCTGGTACCCAGATCTCCTGCAAGACAAAGTGAGATCTTGGTACGAGGTTACCTGTAGGGACAACGCAGAACTAACATCTCATATGTCTTTCACTGCTACCTATCATGATACATTCTGCAGCTCAACTATAATGAACGTTTTTTTCTTTTTTCAGCTGTGAAATTGAGAATAAGTTAGTCGTAACCGATCGATTCTCTTCGGGCAAGCTGGCAAAAGCTAAAGGTCAGTTAACAGCCATTGATATCTCTGATTAATGATGATAAATATATAGATTTAGCCAGGCTAGTTTTCACGCTTGAATTCAACTAACAAAAACTTCGACCAGTTATCCGAGATTGGATTAGTCCTGGAGCGTAACAAAAAGGGTGACCAGAGCTGAAAGTGAATCGTTAAAAATTAAATTTCCAAGGTTAATATCGTAATTCAAACTAAAGAGCCCTGTAAAGAGACTTCAACCCTGAAGTACTTCTATCCCAGGGAAGGGGGTAGGGCAGGGGGGGATACGCATTTCACATGGCGCTAATTTATTACACTTAGGATTTTAGGGTGTACTGGGTGACAGGCGACCAGCGGATGCCAGGGCGTTTTTCCCGCCCCTCGGGAACGAAGTTGCCTTTCTTTGTCAAAAATGGCATCAGAAAGGATAAGGGGTTGAACCTTGGACCTCGAGGCGGAGAAACTTGTTGAGTACCCCTCCCCCGGGCTGTTGCCTTAGCACAACATGTTTGTACAACTTATCGTCATTTTGAAGAGGTTATCTTAGAATTTTTTTGTTCTTGGTCTTGCAGGTTTTCCAGGCAGACTTATTCCAGAAGATGAACTTAAAACCAGATGTCTCTGAAAAAAGATTTACAATGGCAATTTGAACTCTCGGAATTAAGCAATCTTGAACACTGTAGTATTTTTATTATTATTATTTAAGAAAAAATCGGGCTGTTATATATTATTTACACTTATCTGGTGTAGCGTTATTTATTATGATTGTCTCCTGTTACGAAGATAACAAGAAGACAGAAAGAACAATGTCTTAAGTTCTAAGCAATGCTAACTGAAGTTACTTTTTCTAAAGCTGTTATTGCGACACTATTGGGTGCTGTTCTCAATCTGCAACAAAATTTCAAAACTATTATCTTCTTTTTCTACACAAAATACTGATATACGTTTACCTATAACTATTACCTATGCAAAACACGTTTTTTTAAATAATCATGCTAGAAATTTTTTCTACTACAAATGAACATTTTAATAGTCATAGGAAAATGATAGTGTTATTTATAGCACAGAAAAAGTTTACAATACAGTTAATATATAAATTAGATTAATAATACATAGTAGAAAAATATAATGTATTTGAAAATAGTGCAATCCAATGCACGAAAAACTTTTAGACGTGGGAAGCACTAACTGCTTTCTGGGAACCCGTGATTTGAGAATGTTACCAAACTTTAACTGGAATTAACTGGGGCTTTCCGACCAAAACGTTCTTTTTATATCTCTATTACAGGTTATATTCCTTGTTCAGGGACTAACCGGACACTAAAGCGAATATAACCGTGAAAGTTAATTTATAGAGAGCTTAAAATAGCTCTGCATATACAATTTACACTCGATAAAGCGTCATTTTGGAATCGGATCAGACAATAACATCGTTGCTAAGGGTTGCACTATTTTTGTCATATATAATGTTTAACAAGAAATGCTTACAATAAATATGTGAACATTGAAGCTTATCTGCCTCTTGTGAGTGATTTTGTTTTTTACTTTGTTGTTTCTTCCTTCTCATTCCTCTTCCCGCTACATATTTTAAGATGTTTCAGGAAATACCATTTCCCGTGTTGCCTAGCCTGCGCGCATAGCAAGCGCACGTTCCATATCGACGAACTCGCGAGGAAATGCTTGCTAAGCAGGCTCCCCTACGCCCCTCCCGTTCCACCTCCCTATACCTAGCTAGCCTTTCTCACCTCCAAGGAGCCTATCCTGAGGATAAATTAAGGGATTACTGAAACAGCTAGTTGTAAAGTCAGGTTTTGTTCCCATTTTCATTTTCCCGAATACTCAGGAGCATATATAACCCAACAACAAGATGTACATGATCGCCTTATAAAACTATTAGACCTTTAGATTCGAGCCTAACGAGTACGACTACGAGTATACGAGATTTCACTGAAAGTTTTTTCGGTTACACTCAAACTTTTTTCATTTAAAAAGTTAACACGATTTCTTTTATTGAAGGAATTTTAGCCCTCTCTCGATCGTGAACTAAATTTCTAACACTTGATAACTAGTTTACGTCACTACGACATTTTCGTTACAACCCGTCATCGAATAACGACGGCTATCCCGCTGGTGAATGCGTCCACTACTCAATATTAGGCTGATTTAGCAACAGGACGGAAACGTCAGTTGACGACGGGAAAGCGCGCAGAAAAGACCAAACACGACTTCCGGTGCTCAATTTGCCGCTCTGCCATCGGTCAAGCCTGTAGTTTGATTTGAGCTCGCCGTCGTCAACTGACGTTCCTGCTCCATTGCTAAATAAGCCTATTGTTCTCGTCGTCCTCGTCTTGGAATCTAACCTAAGGTCTCTAGTAACGTATGGGTGAGTACGAGATCCTCTGTCACTTCAAGGCCTTTCAGATTCCCCTGCATCATTCAACTCACAAAAAAATAATGAGAATTCTTAATAAAGGTCCAATCGCTACACCCTGTGCTGCTCAACTAATTTTAACGTGAGAGGAAAGGCGACACTTAGCGGCGCTAACAATGGTTTTCCCGTAGAATGAAGTCTGAGAAATGACACTGATTGACGCGTCACTACCCAGATCTGGATAGTGCTTCTGATTGGTTGAAGCAAATTTCCCTCGTGGCACGACCATTCAGAAGCACTATTCAGTATGGAAATACTGCGCTCGTTTCTCAGACTTTCATTTCGCGGGCAAAATTCAACCAGCAGTGGCGTCGCTAAACGTCGGCTGTTTTCTAAGGTTATAAATTCAGGTTTTTTTCCCACTTTTTTTCCCCGAGTACTTCTAAGCGAAACTCAGCGCAACAAGGTAGTTTGAAGCAGCGAACAAAATAACGCATAGATAAATATGTCACTAATTGGGATTACTGAGTCTTGGAAAACTCAGCATCATTCAATGTACAAGAAAGGTGAAAGACTATGAATGCATGAACGACGGGAACGAATGTAAATTTTTGAAAAATAGATGTAATGACAGTTCTGAAAATCGGAATAATCGTTACCCCCTGTACTACTTACGTATTTTGAAGAAATCCCCCGTTAAAGAATCTCACCCACCCAGTTTGCATTGCGCGCTCACGCTCAACTCACGCTCTTCATTCGCCAGTTTCATGGCCCCCGAAAATCCAAGTTTTATCATCTTGATATGCGACCACAACTTTCCTTGGAGACCCCAGATACTCTTGAAAGTGAATGCCCTTTAATATTCAAAATTATATCTTTAACCTGACATGGGTATTCTGTTTCACACTTAAGGGGCCTTTTTATCCGTGGAGGTAATTTTAACCCCAGATAGGAAAATAACATGCGGCGGGTCACCCAACCTATCCACATTTTTACACGTGATCAAATTAAAATGTGGATAATTAAATGGAAAGGCGGGTTACACGTGATCAAATTAAAATGAGAGATTATATGGACAGGCGGGTTACCTCACCTACCCCACCTCCGTGTAGACAAGTCCTTAGACTCCTGTTCATCGTTTTTATTCGACATGCTTTGAGATTCACGAAAATAAAACGCGTAAACTAAGACATGTACGTAGTTCATCGGAAGGTGAATGTGCATACAAAACTGTGGTTGTTTCTGTTTGCACACTTTTATAGTTTTACTAGTTTACTTCTTCCAAAGGTTTATCTCTCTAAAGACATCCATTTATGTAGACGAAAACTGTCCCGGGAAAGAGAGTCACTCTCCCAGCCGAGTCAACTTTAGTGTGCGTATACATGAGAAAAAATATAACCCATTTACCCGAGAAAACAACTAGCTACTATAGCGCTCGCGCCTGCTCTGATTTGTCTAAAACTACGCTCGCCTATACTCTTATTGTCTCACTTTGACCAGGTTGACCCGGTCAAAGAGAGAAACGGTTTATATAGAGAAACGTTGATTCAGTTAGATGTTGCCTGCGAGCGGGCTCACTAGCGCGAGTTCGGAAAACATTTGGCCACGGAACCCGCACGAATAAGCCTGCTTGCAGGCTTGGCTAGGAGGATGACCCTATCAACAAAAATGAAGGGCGACGATCACCCTTTTGTAAGGAAATGTATGAAAAGTTGGCTCGGCCAGGGACAGAGAGAAGGCTGTTTTCGCAGGTTACGCCCAGGGTGGCTTTGGTAGGCGGATGACCCTTGCATAAATGGGTTCTTAGCAGCACAGCCTTCCTACTGTGAATGTAATGATGAACCTCAGTATTAGAAAATTCCTACACACCAAATGTACTAATGGAATCCAATAGCAGAGGTTTCCTACCAAGTGAATGTTATAATAAAACCCAGTACCACAGACTTTGCACACAGTGAATGTACTGATGGAATCCAGTAGTACAGGCTTCCTACACAGTGAATGTTATAGCGAAATTCGGTACCACTAGCCTGCGTAGTAAGCGTATCTGTGTGGTTTCGGATTTTTCGCACGGCCAAAACCGAAAATCCCGTTTCTCGGTCTTTCTTTGCTCCGAAACCACACGGAAACGCTTGCTACGCTGGCTACAGTAGCACAGACTATGTACACGGTGAAAGTACTGATGAAACCCAGTACAACAGATTACGTACACAGTAGCTGTACTGATGGAATTCTGTAGCACATGGCACTGGCTTCCTACTCTGTTAGTATTTATGACGAGCTCAGTGGCACAGGGCTGCCAATTATTAAGGAAGGAACTGAAACAAGCAGCACCTCACGCCTGTCTTCCTCAGAGCATCGGCAAAGCTAACATGGCAACCAAGGCAACGTCCCCCCTGGAACAAAACCTCCCACGTTTTCATTCTGAACAACAAAAACGACAGAAAAACTGCGCAGAAAGCGTTATTTGAAGCCTTTCTGGGGACGAGTTGAGCAGGTTTTAAGCCCGTCCAGTTTGAGACAATTTGACAAAACGTTTCAGAAAGAGATTATTGAGGCACTGGAGCATAAAGACTTGCTCTTTAGTTTTATTCAGTTATTATTATCTTTTTATTATTTTTCGATGGATGGAAATACAGGGCGTTTTGCTGAAATCCAGTACTTTTTAAATTGATTGAGTTGATTAGTTCAAAATACTGATTCAGCTTTTCAAAAGCAGTAAAAGCAACTTAAAAAGCAAGGAAGAAAAGCAACTTCTGAGTCAAAAGCAAGGAAAGATGGGCTTGTAGCCTGCGAGTTGGTCAAAAATACAGCCGATTTTATCCTCGCCCCTCCTTAGCCGTAGGCTCAACCTAGAGATCATTTGGACTCGTCCCTCCTTCGCAGGCTAGAGATCTTTTGGTTTGTTGAAGAAGTATTTACATATAGTACTCACAGTTTATAAATATTGCTTTGCGTAAAAATATCCTGGAACAAACTAAACTGAATTTCTTAGTAGTCACAAGACAAAAATCATTGCCAAAAAAATACTATAAAATTTGTAAGATTTTTTGTACATTTCTATACCACAAAAATTTCTGTAAATTTTGATTCAGCATCTACATTCAAATACTAGCTATTCTAAGATACAATATATACATATACAAGATAATTTTCTGCTGAAAAATTGTTGCCTTAAGGCTTTCGCTTCAGGCTCTCCCCAGTGTGTGGGAGGGACGGCGACGTGGAAAAAATAGAAATTCTTCGATAAAAAAACAACAACAACTCTGAAAGAAACATTTCTTTCATTACCCTCGAAGTGAATATAAATTTTTTATATTCTCTCCTAAAATTCTGCATATTACTTTTGCGGTCAATTTATCAAAAAACAAACTGATGATGACTTGCCCCTACAGGCGCACCATTACAACGCCAATTTAATTAACAGACAAGTACAACAACATTTTTGACAATAAACAAAAATCCTATGTCTCAAGAGTCTTTCTTTGTCTGGGTCAATTGGTATTCAGCATAATTACAAGCAATTGAGTCTTTGAATGGTTAACTTATTCTTGAACAGAGCCATGTCCAGTTTACTCCATTAAAGAAAGGATGCGACTTGATTTCCTCCACACCATTAACACCAGAGCCTTTTGATAAAACAATATATATACAAAAAGATTACCGCAATACGCCACTAACAACAGCTAAATGTGGCAGAAATAGACTGAAAGGCCTCCCCAGGCTTTTTTTTGTTAGTCTGATACCGCTGAAATTTAAAAAAAAGCTTAAGAAACGACGACGGCAGAAGCAACGAGAATTGCAAAAAGGCTTTAGGTTTAAAGCAGCAAAACAACAACTTTGCACGTGCATCACGGTTTTTGGTCCATTTCGTTGCCGTCGTTGCACGACTACGACCTGAAACTTGCTGATTTCACGCTTTATGGAGGAGCGAATACAAGACAAAGATTTTCTTCTTCTTTTTTGGTGAAGTTACATGTAAATAGAGTCATTGGATTTCAACTCTTTAAAACAGACAGACACATTAATGAAGTTGGAATAGGAGCGATGGAGATAAAGAAAGTCGCAAATTCACTTTTTGGGCGAAGATTCTGCTGCCGTCGTCGTAACGTGTTCACGTGGCATGGGTTGTCCACTCTTTCATCCCAGATTTTCACGCACTCAATCTGTAGTCTAGTATCGCAGTATTAATATCATTTTGGGTAGAGTTATTTGAAAAATAGAGACAACTTACCTAATCTTTCACAGGGTGTTACTCGTAGAAGCTGAATGAAGAGAAAGCAAAGTATCACTTCAACGTTTTCTCACTAATTGCTCGCTGTCTACTTTGGACAAGGGCTCCTTAAATGCCGTAGGGCGGGCAAATCCCAATTTCGAAGCCAAACGTTTTTTACGTCTCAGGAGCTGTCCGCACTCGCTGTACAGAACTAGTGCCTGAGTGCTGGCACAAAATGGTCTTGTGTTTACACCTTAAGTACTCGATAATTATAATGTAATGTATTTCGCCATGACAGACGCCATTTCGAAACTTGCGCTTAACAAACTTTATAGGGAGTGCAAAGCAGTTGATTATCCCGAAACTAAAAAAAAAAGAAAAAAAAGCTGGTATACACACTGCCAGTGGCTTCGGCTGCCAGTGGGATTCGGTGCCTACCTATTAAGTGCCCGAAAACAAGGTCTCGACCTTGTACTCGGGCGCTGAAGCCGTCCTCTTATTCAGGCGTGGGCAATTAAAAAAAATACCCACGTGTGTTCACACTGGTGCCTAGCGAGTACCATACTTCATCAAAGTGCACGGGCACCAAGTGTGGACGCTGCCACAGTGTCCTTTTTGGGGCCCTGTACACAGAATATCACCACCCAACAATAACAAAAGTGTCACGATAATATTGATCCCTACAACATTCTCAAACACAGTGGAACCTCGATATAACTAAGGGCCAAGGGACTGGACGAAGTTCTTTTCCATATATTTTACTATTACTGGGGTAAAGAAAATCGTTCGCTATACCGAGGACTTCGTTGTATAGAGGTTCGTTATATCGAGGTTCCACTGTACGAAGCAAGTGAAATGTTTTAACAGTACACTACGTACCTCTCTTAGAAGCGATTTAGCTTCTGGTGAAATCTTAATTGGTAGCTGAAGTTCGGTGTGAGTTTGTATTCCCCAGGGATGTGCAGTTGAGAGGGCCTGAATTTTAAACAACATTGACCAAAAAATGTCAACACAAAAAAACATAAAATTAACGAAGCAAAATTCAAAAATTAAGTAATAAAATAAGTTACAATAATTAACTAAATACCATATACCCGCCAGTAACTAACAAGCAAACGAAAAGACTTTTAGTATCCTCAGCCACATTCAAACATACTAGGAACTCTAAAAGCAACATATAAAGGCATAACTATTTCAAAGGGGAAAAAAGCAGGTAACAATTGAATCTGAAAAGTTTTTGGCCTATTTTTTAATGTTGTGTTCCATTCGCACGTTTTTGCTTGTCAAAAATCAAATACACGTACTTCAAATTTATGTACAATAGAGTAGTAGAGCAGTTTTAAATCAAACTGAACTATTATCTCGGGGTTTTCTTTGTTTCTAATTGCAGTCGAAGCTCTCGTAACCGACCCCCTCGGAAAAGTGGTCGTAACTAGGGCTGGTCGCTCACGAGAATGAGCTCTCGTAAGCGACCGCATGGTAAATGAAAAAACGTTTTTACGTGGGATACTTGCACTCTTCGAAGACTCTAAATTTTTAAGTATTTGAGCAAATGGTAGCTAAATAAATATGTGACTCTAACCTGCCCTGTAATCAGTTCATAGAGGAGAGCTCCAACGCTCCACCAGTCAGCTGCAACAGTTATCTCATCAATCTGCCAAACCTCTGAGGAATTTAACCGTAACAAAGAAAGCATTAAAACAAGGATCTCAGAGCTGCTTGCTGCTTGTCAGATGTCACTAGCCGGGGTTAACTTACATCTGTAAGGCATGCCATATTTCTTTTGCTTTCAGAATTATAAAGCCGTTTTCTTATGTACATGATGAACATATGTTACACCTTATGAAGCCCCAATTATAACTATTATTAAATTTCTCCTCAAAACTTCAAAGCATAATCAATCGGAGAGGTACGGACTGAGAAATAAGGATTTGATGACCCAGGATTAATGCTCGCGATATTTTATCAAATTCTTCCCACTATTCCGATAAGAAAAGTAAGCGACAAGAAAGGAGAAATTGCATTACAATGTTGGGGGAAGGGTTAATTGTTTGCATAACCATGGTCTCAACATCTCACAAGTTTTGTGAGAATTGTATGTCTGTTTGATCAGGCATTTAAAGTAACATACATTAGTCAGAGAGCTTTAGATTTTATGACAAGGACGACTACGAGTACCAGTTTTGTCCAAAAATGTTCAACCGGGAAAGCTTCATTGTACAATTTTTCACCTGAAAAATTAGCGCGGTTATTTTCATTGGAGGAGAAGGTTTAGCCCTTTCTCGGTCGCAAAATGATTAAACTTCTAAAATTTGATAACTTGTCCCCCCCACTACGGCATTCTCGCTAAAACTCGCAGTAGAATGACAACGGCTACCACGTTTTCCCGCCAAAATGACGTTGGTTCACGTAAGAGCAATATTTAGTACCGAGAATATCTGGTAGTCGTAGTCGTCCTCGTCTCAGAATCTAAAGCTCTCTATTGAACAATGAATATTGCTATACCAAGTTAACAGCCCCAACATCCACATACAAATTCTCCACACTGATGTTTACACTTGTCCTTAAAGAATTAGTTAAACAAATTTGTTCCGTGGTCAATGCATTTTTCTTTAATAGCTGACCATTTTTATTAATTCTCAAACCTTTTCTTTTTATCATGTATTGACATTAGAGCTTTAGATTCTGAGACGAGGACGACTACATGTACGAGATTTTCTCAGTACTAAGTAGTGAACAGCGTGAACCGTCATTTTGGCGGGAAAACGTGATAGCCATCGTCATTCTACTACGAGTTTTAGCCAGAATGTCGTAAAGGCGGAAACAAAATATCAAATTTTAGAAGTTTAATCGTTTTGCAACCGGGAAATCGCTAAACCTCCTCCAATAAAAATAACCGCACTAATTTTTTAGGTGAAAAGTAGTACAATGAAGTTCTCCGGGTTGAATATTTTTCGAGAATACGCGGAAAAACTTTAAGTTAAATCTCGTACTCGTAGTCTTCCTCGTCCTCAAATCTAAACTGAGCTCTTTATTGTTGGGAGAAAATTGATGTTGGTCACTCTTGGGTCTTCAAGGGTTAAGACTCCCACTTTACATTAACCCTTTAAGGCCAAATAGTGACCAACATCAATTTTATCCTAACGATATCCATAAAATGTCAAGATTAGGTTATGAGAATTAATAAAATGATCACTTAAGAGAAAATAACTTGATCTTTTATCAATCCTCTCAACTCATTCATTACGGAAATGTATAGAGATCAGTTTGGAGAATTTGTATGTTGATACTGGGGCTCAAAGGGATGACATTTTATGTTACTAACCTGGAGCACAGTAGAAATGGTTCACAGCTTCTTCATCAGGAACATGCTCTGTCTCTTCCCATGAACCAAAATATGTAAGAAGAACATGACCTTCCTCGTCAAGGAGAACATTTTTAGGATGCAAGTCTCTGTGAGAAATGCAAAATGTAAGTTATCAAAAGCATTTTAGATCTCCGAGTAAAATCCCTAGATAAAGAGCTTTCTTGGCAAAAAAAGAACTGGGAGTCCCCAACAAAAATCAAATCCACGACCTTGGATATTAACAGCTGGGATAAAACATAAACCTAAACTTTGGTAGTTTAGAAGAGGTGAGCACTACCATTCAAAAAGGAGGAATTACTCTTTCTGGACATGTTTTTCGTGACGAGAGCTCTGCAGTGCAACAGCCGATAACATAGGTGCCTAGGGCTAAGAGAGGAGGTCTGACAAGTGCTTACATAAACACACTGATGAGGGATACTGGTGTGAAGAACGTTACAGATCCAGAAAGTTGTATGAGAGATCATCGGGCTTTATGGATCAGTTTTTCTTCTTGTTGCCTTCTAGGCGTCGACCGGGAGTAAGCAAGAAGTAATATTAAAAATGTTGTTACCTGCAAATTATTCCAGACGTATGCAAGTAAGCAACAGCCAACACAATTTCCGCCGCCCAAATTTTAACATTCTCATCTGGTAAACGTTGCGACGATGAAGCAAAATACTCATCCAGTTTCAAGAACAGAAGGTGCTTGTTATCGCGAGAAGCGTCAGCTTCCGCTTTTTCACTGCACGTCTTCACCAAGTCCTTATCTCCTTTACTCCCTTCTTTTGTAACAGACAGTTCATTATTATTGCCATTATAAGGGCTGGTGGCACCATTAGTCTTTGTACTAAGCTCTGGTTGTACTAGGGAGGCATTTGAGGTTTTTGTGGAGTCCTCACTAGCTTGTCCACTACATGAACTTTTAGCGTTACTGTTAGTTATATTTTCTGGAACTCTGTCTACTGCCAAATCTTTTCCTGCTTCTTGGTAAGAAGTTCTTTTCACATTAACTGCATCATTTTTTTCATTTTTGTCACATTGATCATGCGTAGTCTTTTTCAAACCCAGTCTGTTTTGTTCACGGGCATTTCCAGTGGCTTGTGACTCTTGGTTACTACGGTAACAGGCAATATGATCCCATAGCCTGCCGCCTCGTGCATATTCCAATAAAAGGTAAATAGAGCTGCCTGTCTCAAAATACCGAAAGAGTTGAACTATGTTTGGATACTTGCCCTAAAGTAAAAAAAAAGATGAAAAGAGAATATTAAAAGCGTAGTTACTAAAACAAGGAATGACCTACAATGAGCTACAAAAACAATTCCCTACAAAGAGATAAAAAAATGACATACAATGATGTGTGTCGTGTGGCGCCAGATTGCTTCCCTAAACGCGACAGAAACATCATGCTTGGACGTGACACTTGGCTCATATTTTCAGAGGAAACTTGATTTTTTAAGAGCACTCCTAAAATTATGTACTTTAGTTAGTGAGAAAGTGGGCAATTTTGGTTTACTTACATAGAGACGTCTCACAGACTTCTTGCGCCGGCGCTCATTTCCATGTGAGTGGCCAGGTGGCCGTACTGACCCTGACTTGCAAAGAGCCTAAAATCATTTTAAATATTATTTTAATATGCAGCCTAACAATTTCTAACAAAGTGATGGGGCTTCTGATCAGACAAATTTGGTCAAAAGCTAAAAGCCCACATGTACTTCACAATTGCGACATCATGAGATAATGACGTAAGTATAATTAGATAAGAAGGCAGTTATGTGGATATGTTTGGGCGTGAACATGCAGACATGACAAAGAGATTATGGCAACATAACACTCATGACAATAGTAAAGAACTACTTTAAAGTTTGTATTAAGGTCAGTGTGTCCTTACGTTTTGGTAATGCAAGGTAAAAACACGTGTGAACAATCTTCGACATATCAAAGGCGGAACCAGTCGCGACATTTATTAAAAAACTATTTAACACAGGGCCTGTTTAAATGAGGTTAGCCAGCCCGGTTGGCTTTACAGGGTTAGCCTGTCTCATGCCTATTTTTTTCATAAAACTTCTATTATGCCAATATCAGAAGGCAGGTTGGTCCACTTGCCAAGATCCCCGTTGGACTAGCCGGCAAGATCTCAGCAAGCAGGTAGCATTTTTCAATGAATGGAAGAAACGTGCAGGGAGGAACAAGTGTAAGAGAATAGGAGCTGACAAACCTGCTGTTGATGGGTAAGAGAAGTGGTGGAGTGGAGTTAAAACACAGTTGAAAAATGTTTATCTCGATGGTACTAATGACACGTTAAAAAACCAAGAGGCATCTTATGCATTGAGAAATCGATTCCATCATTCATAGGACCTAAATGTTTGATTACGAAACCACACGTGTAGTGTGGAGAAATATAATGTTGGTTATAATAAATATTATTATAAGAGAACAATTAACATGTTTAACAGACCTTTAGAACATATGTGTCCCCATTGTGGCTATTCTCAACCAGCATAACCTACATAAATATATAAATAACAAATTAAAGAAACAAACAGAAAGCAGCACATCCTTAGCTGAATGAAAATTTTGAAATTTATTAAAATAAATAAATAAATAACCCATTATGCTCTCACTCTCCTTTAAAGGGCTGAAAAAGTTGTGAGCTTGTCCTATTTGCAGGCCATCTGATATTACGCGATGGTGCGTTTTCACACAATTGACCTCAAATCGCCCAGGGCCACTTCATGCTTATCTTAGTAACTGATTTTGTTTGAGGATGACTTGCTTGAACCCAGCAAGAAAATTTACTTTTTGGACTGCTGGGCGGGACGTTTTGCGAGCCCTGTTCTGGAGTCTCAAAAACAAAAGCGGTACGATCCAAACACAATCCGGAAAAACATTTTTCAAATGGAAGGTGCAATTTGCAACTGTGCAGGTTTAAATTATGCACCAATGCTTACTTTTTTGCAATAAGAAAGAGCTAACAGAGGAAGCCAAGAAAAAATTGACCGGAAATGGGAATGTTATGTGCGGGAAACAGGAGTTATGGACCACCCAGTTTCCAGTCCTCAACTCTGGCATGCTGACCACTGAACAACACTGCCTGCCATCAATAATAGTGAGTTTAGGCAACAGGACGGCAGAAAGGAGAGGACAGCAAAACGGTGGGTGTCACAAACATGATGGGGCTATTACTTGCAAGAAAAGCGTGTTTTGTCAGGAATTCACCTAACATGTTTTTTGCTCTTCTACCAAAAGATCTGTTTAAAGGTATGTGAAGTTTGGTGTGAAGGTTTATTCAAACAAAATTATTGTCATGCTTGTCTCACAAGGTTTGCCGTTGTGTTTCCTCTCCTGTCCGGTTGTTTGAGTTCACTTATTGCCACAATTAATATTAATTATAAATGCAAGCAGTAAAAAACTATTTTTGGTGAGTAGGGAATATTATAAGTGCTCTACCAGACATAAATACCTTGCCAACAATTCCCATAACTTTTAAGTCTGCGAGTGTGAGATCCTTAAACTTATGTTGATCATCAGTGTCACAAATACTGTTACTAGGATGTGATGATGAAGACTCCTGTCAAAAATCAACATATCAAAAATATGAAGCACAGTAATTCTAATATTTTCAGTATACTTTAAACTAAATAAACATGCGCCCCACCCACTCAATAAGCCCCCTCAATATAAAGCCCCGCTTGAAAAGTGATTCCTCCCCCTGTCCTAAGTAAATTTTAAAGATGAGCCCCTTACCCTACTCAACACAAATAGTACACTAATATTTTCAGTATACTGTAAATTAAATAAATAATTATGTGCTCAACCCGGTGAATAAGCTCCCCTCAATATAAAGCCCTTCCTTAAAAAAGTGTTTCCCCCTCTCCCTTTTAAAGTTGTGCTCCTTTCCCTACTTATCCTGCTCATATTATTGCCCCCATCCCCCCCCCCACTCCTTCTTGAAGTTATCATCTGCTTCCCTGTTTGGGATGGAAGCAAATGCTCCTCCCAAATGCGGCTGCTGAACTTACTATTTACATGGGGAAACCAGAGATTCTAGTTAAAAAGCAATAATAGTTCCAACCAAGGACAACCATCATTTCACATGTCCAGGGTGAAATCTAGTTGCTAAACAGTAACAGTCGTAGTCAACCATTTTTCCACTATGACCAAAAATTTTGAAGCTGTGAGCTGTGGCTGCATAGGCTCCTGGGGCTAATTTAATAAAACTTTTACAAGCGTAATGTACAAGTGTAGCTATATATTTGTTTTAGCCAGGGTATAAAAACAATAGTCAAGTTCACTTGTAAATTACACCTAATTTGGAAACGTTTTATTTAAATGGCTCCTGGCCCTCTCCAAATTAATCTTCAGTGTCTTTGTGAACCTTTCACCAAAAAGACTGGTTATTCAGTATATTATACAGTACAACTTCTAAAGCAGAAACCTTAACCAAAGATTATAATTTTAGAGGTCTTATTAACTGATTACATCTTAATGACGTTGGCAGCTTAAATTGCGGTCATCCAATGGGCAACTACAACTGTATGTTCTATGATTTGGTCATCACTGTAAAAGTTACAGTCATATCTGACAACTGGACGACCATTAATTTTAGACCCTGAAGTTCATTACATTCCTCTTGAGAAGTTCGACATTATTAAAGTCGATTTGTAAAATTAATTTCAATTGTCAGTCTTGCTGGTTCTAACAAGCTGAACTGGTCAGTACCTGCTCTGGTTTCTCATCCTGTGATTCATTGGTGGTAAGATATGCATTATAGAGAGCTTCAGCTTTCAAAAGATACTGAGCTGTTTTGCGTCTTACAGCTTCTCTTCTCTTGATGTCCTTTTCCCCTGCAAATTGAATGACCAGGTAACAAATTCTTACTCTGGGTTGCAATGTGATTATTAAAACTATCTATCTATAGAACTACCGTAAAATTCCGAAAATAGGCCCGTCCATGTATAAGCCCCTCCAAATATAAACCCTCCCCCCCCAAACTGGTAACGCAAAAAACCCTCTGTTAAATCGCCCCTCCAAATATAAGCCCCCCAGGGGCTTGTACTTGGAAACTTGCCCTCAAATTCAACTTAAAACAAAGAAAAAATGGTAAATTTACTTCCAACTATAAGGCTAGCCCTATCGAGTTTGAAACGCAAATTTCCCTCCGTAAATAAGCCCCTTCGAATATAAGCCCTCAAAAAGGGTCTTTGAAAAATTTAAGCCCCGGGGCTTATTTTTGGAATTTTACGGTGTCTAATAGTTGCAAAATAGGAGTTTAAGCAACAACGACAGTGACAGCAAAAAGAAAGAAAACAAACAATAGGGTTAGATTAACAAAACAGCAGGGTTGCATGTGCATTGATCACGATTTTTGGTACACTTCTTTTCCATCACTGCACAACTACGATGTGAAACTTTCACTAATTTCATGGAGGACGTAGACACAACACAATGATTTTCTTTTTCCTTTTGTAAACTTAGATCCTTTAGAATTCAACTCCTGAAAAATCGAAAACATTTAGCAAATTAAAAGAGTTGGAATAAGGGCGATAAAGTACAAATCAGCGCGAATCCACTTTTTGGGTGAAATTTTCTCTGCCATTGCCGATGCTTATGCCGGAATCGAATCAGACTCTCATGAGTATGGTGTGATTTTGGCACCTGACTAGTGTCACGCAGAATATGATATGTAAGACCGCCAGTAGCAGGCATCCTTTGTTTCCTTACCTTATTATAGGAAATTAATGCTCCATGAAATTAAGGTATTGGAAATTAACGCGACTTAAATTAACGCGAATTTAATGGAAACGACTTTCGAATAAAGAAAATTAACGTGAAAGAGGAGGTAGAATTTCACAATAAAGGAAATTAACACGATTATCTTGACCGAAATCAAAGGAGAAGATATTGACATCACTTCTGACAGCGACAACGATGAAGATGAACTCGAAATATTGTAAACCTTCGCCTTAGCTTTTTTGAAAGATGAAAAATAAAGGGTAAATGGAAAGATAGGCTTGATTACCAGCCGCTGTTCGGGAGGGTAGAAGACCGGACCCGGGAGACGGAGGAAATCGAGCCTAATGGAAAGAAAGAAAGCTTGTAGTCAATGTTTTTTAGGTGTAAAGAATGTCTGGACATGAAGGTTCCAAAATTGGGGTTAAAATACTGGAAATTAGGAGCGTGGAAATTAACGCTGCACCTAATTAGCGTCATGGAAATTAATGCTCAACAAAATTAACGCGACTTAAATTAACGCCAATTTTAACGATTCGCGTTAATTTCATGGAGCGTTAATTTCCTACAATAAGGTATAAGGAGGTGGGCAATGTAACCTCTTATGAGCCCAACACGGTTACTGGAGTTGTGTTTCCCACCCGGAGAATATACCACATGCTCAGTGCCCATACCTCAGGATTGGAAGAGAACACTCGCGTACCAAGACATAACGAATGCTGATCGACTTCTGAATCAAAACAGAGCATATTTAGAGGCTTTACAAGGAATATACAGGGAGAATTGACCAGAAAAAAAACAAGACAACTTCATTTGTGAGTAATTGAACTTAATTACACAAAAAAAATAACCTTAATTTAGTCGAAACCCATGTTTTCTATAATCCAGGGTGAAAGGCCCAAATTTCAAGGAATCAGTAATACGGTATGTATACCATAACAGAGTGTCCACATCAAAGACATCTGAATGCCACCGATTACTTCTCTAATAATAATAATAATAATAATGCTACTAAATTATTTTTGTGAAACGAAATATGACGGTTACCTTGTACACCACTCAAAAGCAAGCTAACACAAGTCTTGTACAAACTGAATGCTTCTTCATATCTGCCGCTAACCTCACAATCAAGTGCTTTATGAATTGTGTGCCCTGCCATGTACAAATAATCGCTCTCTTTACAATCAATGAAGATATTCCCTAAGTCGTAGATAGGTCTCCGCTGTATTGCTGCCCTTCCAGAATCACTAGAGCTAGTGAATGATTGTTTGTCCGCAGTGCCAACGGAGGCATTATCCTTCAGAGAATGAGAGTCTTTATCGGAGTAGGCACCAGTGCCTGAGCTTGAATTAGAAGACTCTGGTTTTGCTGGAGGATTTATCATATGGCTTGCTTTGTCAAGACCTGTTTCTATTCCATGATGGTCATCTTGTCCACGATCGCAAGACAAAGAACATTCTGTAGGTAAATTTTCGGTGTCATCATTGTCATGTACATTTAGAGTATGGTAAGAGTCAGCAGACAAGTAAGATCGTGAGTTATCATGGAATTGGTTCTCATGAACCTTCTCTAATGACTCACTTTCTTTAGTTCTTTCTTCACCACTGCAGGAACTATAATCAGAAAAAGCTTGTGGGAAAGAAAGCTCTTCTGAGTCAGCTTCAGAAGCAAGGGCTTCTAGATCCTCTCCTTCACTACAGATTGAAATCGCTCGCACAAGCCAGTTTGGAGGCTGTGTATTGCTGTCTCGTTTCTCCCTCTCTGTTATCAAAGAGTCACTTTCTGAACATTCAACTGCTTCATCCATAAAAACCTCATCCTGGTCCTCTTCAGTTTTCACCATAAACTCTTCATTAGGCTCTCCAGTTAAGTTGTTTGGTTTGCTTTCATTTTCGGCTGTTGACAGTGCTGATTCACTTGGTTCTTGGCACTCATTACTTTCTTCATCTGAGCTGAGGTTGTCAAGACCTTCTGTCAGGGAGGGTTGTTTATAGAGCCAAACCCCTCCCAATGAAGCTTCATCCAGATTATCACCTTAAAAAAGGACATACATAAGTAAATAAATTATCAAAAAAAATTATAACAAGACAAACAAAACATACAAGAAAATTTATTACAAATTCAAAATAGTATATAGTCTTCATAGAAACAATACTGGAAGAAATTAACTTATTCAAAATAAATTTATAAATTATAATTTTGAAATTAATTTATTTAAAATAAACTTAAATAGCCTGCGAGGTTGCTGGAGTGCTCTGGCGGCGGGGTGGGAAAAGGAAGGAGAGCTTGCAACTACATCTCTGAAATTTGAATTCCACCTCCAATTCCTTTGTGGTTCCCCATCGACTGAGCTGTCAGATTTGCGCAAATCAGGGCAAAGTGGAAATGAGTATGAATGCAAACTAACATTGAAAAACAAGTGAAAGATCATTGCCAATATCACCTGCGCCAATCAGCATTCCGCATTGTCTTTTTCTATGCAGATATATTCAAATTCTATTGATGTAGTTGCAAGCTCTCCTTCCTTTTCCCGCCCCACTGCCACAGCGCCCCGGAGAGCTTGCTCACAGGCTAAATTGTAAATAACAATATTGTTAAATTTTAATAAATTCAAATTTCTTTCAATATGTTTTGTATGGAGGCTATACTGTGTCATAGTTATTTTCTTTATTTGGCAAATATTTGGTATTTAATACTAAATATTTGCCAAATGCAGCACTTGATCAATCTTACCATTTTCTTTCCCTGAAGTACATGGTGGTGATGGAGATTGGCGTTCAATCCTGATACTACTGTCATGGGTTTCATCTTGGACAGAGACGGCTGTTGGTGGAGGGCTTTCACTTTCTGCATCTGACAAGCTGCTCTCTCTGCTGGCAACACTCTCACTGCGAATTGGGCTATCAGGGAATCCCCCCTGGAAAGCAAAGAATTACAGTAAAAATCTGCCACTAGAACCCTTGTTTTTAAGAACCTGTTAGGCTAAAATTAATTGCCAGTGAGGCGCCCTCTGTACAATATAATATGTTTAACCTAAAATTTGAAACATGTTCTTATTTTCTAAAATCTATAAAAAAATATTCTGTACACTTGGGCAGTTAAGATGAGCCAACATTCAGGATCCTCTTTGGAGACATAGGTGCCTTATTACTCCATTACTGCAATATTGTAATGGGATATAGATTTGAATCAGCTGAATAACCGCTAAATACTCTAAGTCACAACTTATTTTTTCTTCAGGAAATAAGAACCTAAATTGTAAATAAATCGTAAAATGTAAATCATATTTAAGAACCTAAATCACCCAAATTTGTGCTAATTACCATTTATGGAAGAAACTGTATAGGCTAACTTGGCAAAATGCGGGTTCTTAATTTTTACTTTGTAAATTACAATCTGTAAACTTATCACACAATTGTTACATGATAAAATCATATTAACCAATAGAAATCTGCTATTATTAAATTTTGTAAACAATATGTACATCATTGTCAAGGAAAATTTGACAGTGTGCAGGTAACCAGCGTCTGTTTAGCAGGGTTGACAATATATGAAGGTAGAGTTTGTAAAGTGTCCATTGTACGAATTACCTGATCCAGTGACATTAAGTGGACTAATTTTAGAGAAAATATGAGTTTTTCCTTGGGACAAACGAATCAAACTGTCCATTAAATATGGGTGTCCCTAGCCTGGAGTTCAACTGTATTAGTTTTGTATAAAATAAATGAAAGGCCAAACTGCTACAGAAAAAATTTAAAACAGTGACTAAACGAACAGAATGCTACATTTTCGCGTTCATCTGCCCCATCATCAAACAAGACTTTGTTCAAGCAAACTGCTCTACATTACCTCAAAGAACTTCACAAACGGTTGACTAGTAAAAAGATCTGGTATATTTCCAGCAAAGTTCAAAAGCTCCAATGCAGCTTTTCTTCTCTCTTCAATAACTCCCTCTTCAAAACGACCTGAAAATAATTTCATGGGTGAACTGGAAAGCCAGTCAGTGCTTACATTTGTTTACCCTTTAAGCCCTATGTTTGATGAGCAACAAATTTCTCCTTGTAATACCACTGCTTTATAAAACAGAGTGGTCATGAGAATTAAGGTCATGATCATACTAGATGAATGTAATTGATACTTCAACAAATTCTCCCCACTACTTCTACTGAAAACGTATAGGGATAACAAATGAGAATTTGAATTTCGATGTTAGGGTTTAAAGGGTTAAGAGATCTTAGTACATTTCTTTAGCATTATTGAGGCCCTGTTAGGATAAAATTCCAACAAGCGACATGGCCTTGAAACAGCAACACAAGACAGTTGAAATGGCAAGAAGCAATACGACAATGGGTTGAAAGTGTGACAGTGACAGGGAATATGGCCAATACAATAGTAAAATACCGACAGTGACATGGCCTCCTCTTCAATATGGAAAATGACTGCTTTTGAAATTCAGACTAGGGAAATGAGTACCCCCCAAAGAAGGCCTCATTACTGTTCCCAGTCCCCAATGTAAATAGGAATGAAACAGTTATTTTAGTATTAAACAATGAGAAAAGTGGAATACAGTCAGTGGAATCTTGATTTAACGAACCTCTATATAACAAAGTCTTCAAGGTATAACAAAATGATATTCCTCACCCCAGTAATAGTAAAATATAATATGGAAAAGTCCTTGATGTAACAAAACATCACCGTAGCGAACATATTTTGTCAGTCCCTTGGCCCATGTTATATTGAAGTTCCATTGTATCTCTGAAGGTATTCCTTCATCTAGTGAACCTTTTCCAGTGGGAACATTGCTGTTCCAACTAAATGTCCACCCACAAGTATTAAAAAGGTAGAATGAACAAAGCATAGGATTTACTTTGTCTTGTTCTTCCATAACAACTTTACAAAGAAGTACTTAAGGGCTTTTCACATGGAGGGAGGAAGATCCTAGTACAAGGAAGATCCTAAAAGGCAGAACAACTTTTTGTCAGGTTTACATGCTGAACAAACTTTGGTCTGTGTGGTTACCAAAAAGAGATCCTAGAAAATCCTAGTGCTAGTGACAAGTGCAATCCTTTGCATGTAAACTGAATACAGAAAACATATGGCACTAGCTAGAATGATTCACTTGTAGGATCTTCCTGGTGCCAGAATCTTCCTCCGTCCACGAAAACAGCCCCGTAGGTGGATCAGGCTTTAAGCCAGACATTAAAAACTGGCAGCCAGAAGGCACGTTTTCCCATAAAATTATAAGAGATTATTAGTAAATTTTCGTTGTCTTTTTTCCAAAACTGGCTGTCCATAGGATGGCTGAACACCCTTCTGGCTAAATCCCTTAGGTGGATTGACACCCAGTAGTAAAGAGGTAAGATATAAAATCAATCTGTACTATGTCTTGTAATCTGCCTTTATGAAAACACCTTAATATTATTACCAAAGAACTTTGCCTTTGGGAAAGGTGGGAACTGTTCTTCTTTGAGGTCTTTAAATAAGTAGATCTTCAATAGTTCTTGGGAACTGTTCTTCTTTGAGGTCTTTAAATAAGTAGATCTTCAATAGTTCTTGGTGCAATTTCTTGTCAAAAGTCAAATTGTAAATCCCATTTTGGCCGGACAAACATCGACACGCCTTATCGCTACAAAAGTACCCCCCATACATGATGTTTAAATCTGGAACAAATTCAGCATGCAAACATTACAGCTCAGATGGTTTCAATCCTTTTCACAAACGCCAATAATATTGAACCTTTAAATAGTTTGATTCATTGTCTCCTTTGACAAAACCCTATTGTCCGTTGACCGCCCCTAACAAAATAATTATTCCTAATCGTGAATAATTAAATAGGTTAGGAGATAGACCAAACTAATGGCATTATTCATATCATGGACAAATTATACAGCGTTAAGAGATAAAGTATTCTCAGGGCAGTCGGTCAGGGTGGGATAAATGATGCTATAAAAATGTTTGCGTGGAAACATTATTTTGTTGTGCTGTTTCTCCCAACCCCGCTGACTGCCCTGGATCTGCAAGGATGGGAACAAAGGAAATTGATGAAATTATTAATCCAGTATATCATTAGAGTTATAGGAGACAAAGGAAATTTAAAACTATCATAATTATAAATAATAAAGGTTACACAAATACAAAATCAAAGGATGGAAGTTAATAAGCCATTTGCACTAAGAGGTCATGTGACATAGTTTTTATGAAAATGAAAGTTATATATGATTTTGCCTTCGAAAAACGATTAGTGGGGCATATGTTAAACAAAATAATAGTGATTTGGTTTTTCAAACCTGCACCATTTTCTTAAAATGAGTAAGTTCATAGCTGGTCACGTGACCAAAATGTGATTTTTGCAAAAAGTAGTTTTGGCCGCCATGCTGAAGGGCAAGAGTATGCCCTTCAACATGGCAGCCAATACAAATCATACTACTTTGTTGAAAAATCAAAGTGCCATAAAATATCTCCCTTAAATGCGTTTCCTCTCAAATTTCAGGTGTAAGATAATTGTTATGTGCTCTGTCAATTTTTGGCATCAGCAAAATTCCAACTTATTGTTTAAAGGAAGCATTGGTCACGTGATCTTAGTACAAGAGGCCTACAGAGTTGTACAGCTGTAACTCAGAGTTTCAAGCACTAAGCAATCTTCAGACTAAAAATTCTGAAAACAGATTTCGGTTTTAAGGTGGAAATTTGAATTCATGGATGGTTGGAGCTGGAATTGACCTATGCATTATTATCCTGGTTATTTATTTGAAAGCCATCCACTTGTCGAAATGACTGGCCAACTAATGCCTTGACAGGGAGTGGTCACTAAAACTATGGATGCTGTTTATTTGCATCATGTTTATTATTCATTTCTCCTTCTTTAATTTTCTTTTAGGGGGGGCACGAACCTGGTCCATTACAGGGGGTCCATGGGCTCAGTCCAAGGAAGTGGGGAATCCATCAGCGTGAAAAGAAAGTTATGTCCGATAGCCCAGGGCTAGTGGATTTTGCTATAGGGCTAGTGAATTCTGTTTTTACCTTGCCCGACGGGCAAGTGATGTTTTTTGAGCAATTCGAATCACAAAAGAACTGTGAAATCAATTCTGCTCGTCAAAAAGCTTTTGGGGCTAGTTGAAATGACGCCTGGGCTAGTAAATGCTAGCTTCAGCTTGCCCAAGTGGCAAGCTGTAAAAATAATTTTCTTTGCACCCTGTCCATGGACTCCAGGTCCATGTTTTGTCCTCACCACAACTGAGCTGCTGACCAAAAGGTATCCCTCTCAAACAAGGTTGCAGGCTGTACCTGTTTTTATGTGTTTTACTAAATGACGTTTGAAATTTCCTACTACGAGAGACCTCACAGTTAGTGGCATAATTGCAAAACATTTGTGTCATTGCGCATGCTTTTTTTGCAGAATAAATATATCTATTCAACCACGTTTTTTTTCCATTTTTGATCACTGATTTTCCAAGCAGTATGAACAAATTGGAGAAATAAAATTGGCAAATAATAAAAACATACCTCAGTCGCTCCCTCAGGAAATTCTCTTTGAAACACCTGCGACACGAAGGCAGTAAAAAACGTCAAATAAAATTGTTTTTTGACGACTGGCTTTTAGCTAATGTAGTTAGAAGTAGGTTAAATGGAAGAAACCAGGGGGTATTTCTACCGGTGAATGCCGTCAGGAAAGACAAAAATTTCATTAACTTGTCAAATACACAACTATAGAATGAAACTCAAATTGGTGGACAATTAATGATCCTTTGATTGAGACACGCAATTGCAAAATTAAAATTTATACGATTTACGTTACCTTGGAAGTAACTTTATACAATGTATGGCCGGCATAAGCTCTACGCGGATCCGAGACATTAAACAGCCTGACCCATTGGTCATCTGTGTGCGCCATTCCAAATGACCGATCATCTAGAAAGCTTCCGATTTCTCCGCCATTTTGTATTTTGCGTTTGCTCCTTTTTATTTCAGCCCCAGTAGCGCGCTGCCTAGAACCCAGGCGCTTCGCAGTCGTGGAGCAAAGGGTCCTGCTGGGAAAAATAGGAAAAGTTCTTGGAAAGTGGGAAAATTTTTTTCACCCTTTCCGCAAACAGGCTAGAAAAGTTCCTACAACGTGAATCGCATTCCGGCCTGATAATTACGATGACACCGCAGTCCCTTTACGGGATATTTAATGAAGACAGGGAAAGTTGCTACAATGATTACAGTATGAAAGTGCAGGGGCACCCAACGAGGATATAGTTCAAAACCACTTAACATAGCATTGTTTAACGTATTTTAGTATTCAAACGGTAGATATAGGCATATTTTTATCCCCTAAAAACTTTTCATCTGTTCGGATTTCCTAGCTGAAAGTCTAGTGATCCGAAAATTATAGGGATAAAAACTTACCTTCTCGAAAATTTCAGCCGGGAAAAGCCTCCCGAAAATTCTAGGTGGCCTTTTTTAGGGTCAAAATGCGTTAAAAATGGGTAATTATACCATTTTGTATATGTTCGAAAATCCTAGGAGAGGCAGGCAAGCAAGGAACTTTACAACAAATGCTCCGAAAATTCTAGATCTCAAATCTTCTTCCGAACAGATATTTTCCCGAAAATTGCCGTTGGGTGCCCCTGAAAGTGATGCAGTGGGGGAGAAAGATCATGGGAATTCCCGTTCATTTCTCTCACTTGCCACTTGAAATGGAACGGTAAACCCGCACCCAGGCCAAAATCAAGGATGAAGCCGCGCGAAGAGAAAACATGCCAATTTCCCATCCTTGATTTGGGGAAGGGGAGGGAGTGGGTCTAAGTTTTTTTATTCATTATTTCAAAGATTGCAATCTTGGACAAAAAATAAGCGCTCGTGTGCTTATTTAAAATAGCAGATAAGAGGAGGGGCCGCTTATTAAGTTTTTCCTTTCAACGAAGTGTATAGCCTGAGAAAACAGCTGACATTTGGCGACACTACCACTGGTTTCCCAGCCAAAAGACGTCTGACAAAGGAGCGCGGAAATTCCATACTGATGACGCGTCACTACCCAGATCTGGGTAGTGCTTCTGCTTTCTCGCACCACGTGGGAAATTTGACTCAACCAATAAGAAACACTACCCAGATCTGGGTAGTGACGCGTCATCAGTATGGAATTTCTGCGCTCGTTTCTCAGATGTCATTTGGCAGGGAAACCAGTGGTAGCATCGCCAAATGTTGGCTGTTTTCTCAGGCTACCAAGTGTCACTTTATTTTGGCTATAATTGAAATCTTTAATAGAGACGTAAAGTGAATAATAATATAGTCCTCAAGTTAAGATCATCCTACTCAATGGTATGGTATGCACATCGTCACAATTTTCATTTGAAAAAGTGAGGGGGAGGGGAGGGGAGGGGGCGCTTATTCGAGGAAATATGATATACGTCGAGTTGATTTTGTATGTAGTCAGTTGCTATACTTCAAATCCCAAAACAAACAGCACGAAAATAAACTAAGCAGCTAAAACACTGATGCCCCTCTGCCATTGCAAAGTTATGTTTGCCAGTACGAGGATACTCAAATAATCACAAGTACGGTATTTGGTACTTCAAATCAATCATTTTATTGACTGAATATGTCAATTAACAAATGAGTTTTACCAAAAATTCACAAACACATATGATTTGTATAATGTTGTGGTTCAATTTTGTCCTTGGTTTAAATTAAATCTTTCTTTTGCCTCGGGGTATTCCCGTAGTTATAAAATTATGATAAGGAGTTTGAAAAACAGGAAAATAAAAAATGTAACCAAGAATAAAACTGAAACAAATCGTGCACAGCATTACTTACTACAGTCAAAACCTGCTTTACACAGACCCAACATCTCATTGTCACGGACAGTTTCAGTGTGCAAAGAAAGTTGTGTCCGATGGCCTGGGGCTAGTGGATTTTGCTGATGGGCTAGTGATTTTTGTTCTTAACCTGCCCAACGGGCAAGTGCTGTTTTTGGGGAAAACTCAAATTACAGAGGGATTGTAATCAATCCTGCTAATCAAAAAGGATTTTGGGGCTAGTTGAAATGACTTGTGGGCTAGTACACGCTAACCACACCTTGCCCGAATGGCAGGCTGCAAAACTGACTTTCTTTGCATCCTGAGTTTGCTTTGTCCCAGGAGAAAGAAAGTCCTTATGATTTTCTATAAATTCAACCCACTTAGTACAGACATCCCTTTAATACAAAAACTTTCTATGGCCCCCTCAGTGTCCATATAAACAGGGTTGGACTGTAATGATACATTGTGTGACAAAACCATGATTATCATTATGGCATCCAAGTAAGTAATAAGTACGGTTAAAGGGACAGGTTCACGGTTAAGCGTATGCTCATTAATTAAAATACTTTTCCCAATTTATTATTAATTCTATCGGTTACATATATAGCTCAGTGATCTCAGAGTGTATTTCACAGTAGATGTGTATTTCTATGGTTGATTAATTTACAGCTATTTGCAAATATTTAAGTTGATCAAGTGCAAGTGTCTGCCAAGGAAGTGTGCAGATTGGTTCTTTGAGAACATTATGACATGATCATATTGCTTGCATAGACGATACATCATGTCCCGGTAGAAAAACAGTATTTTGATAAATGAGCATGCGCTGAACCGTGAACCTGTCCCTTTAATCTAGAGCTTTTCTTTAGGCTTGGCTAGATTTATATATTATCACATTTTCATGTTCACTTTCATTATTTTGCCAGAAAATAATAATTTATAAATAACAAAATAAACTGGTTTAAATTACATGACACTGGCCATCAACAAGAATGATGAAAAAACAAAGCAAAATAAAAAGAGATTGAGCATGAAATTCATTTACAGCCACTTCATAGCACTGAATAGCTTCAGAGTTGCAGTTGTTACTACTGGCTGATATTTCTAAATTTCAAAGGCACCTAATTAAGCATGAAATTCATAAATATGCAGGAGGTAATGTGATGGATGTCTTCCAGTTATTACTTTTCATACCACTTTTCACTGCCTCTACTCACGATAAGAACCTGACCAACATTGAGCTTGATTCTGTTCACATCCACTTGAGAGTTTTCTTGCACACTTAAAATTAAAGTGTAATGTTACAAAGGAAAATTTGTAATATTACACTTTTTAACGAGTAAAGCGTTACACAGAATTTTCAGTGTTGTGTTACGCTTTATGTCGGGTAATTTTACTCAAACTTTAGTGTAAAAGAGCTGGTACTCTTAACATGATAATATTACACAGTTAAAGGTATACTTTTACAATTTTTTCTATTGTAACATTACACGCAGGGTACGGTGTACATTTTACCCGTTTTTACAGCGTAAATGTATACCATAGTAAAGGTAATTTTACACTAATAAACTTATAGAATTAAACACACCTATCGGTGTTAGAGTATGCTAACAACACAGAGTAATATTACACAATTTGTAGTGTTGTGTTACTCGTTTTTTCGGGTACTTTAACACCAACTAAAAGTGTTAAAATTGAAGTGTATTGTTAGAAAAGAAAAATTATAAAGTTACACTTTTTATGGTGTAAAACACTACACAGTAATTATGGTGTAGTGATACTCGTTATTTTGAGTATTTTTACACCACGTTTAGGCTGAAACTATAGGTATTTTTAACATTTACTTACAGAGTAAATGTATACCATAGCGGAGGTAATTATGCACTCACATGTGCATACTTATACGTTTATAGAATAAAACACCCACTCTCTTTTGTAAAAAAAAAAATATATCGAAGCAAGAAAATCTTCATCGCGTGAATAAGTTATCTGAGCCGCTAGTTGTACATGTAGCAGGTATATACTTCAGCTGCAGTCTAAGGTCTCATTTCAGATATATCGTACGAAATTCACGCAACTGCATTTGTATACATGTGTAAATTGAAAGGTGTTTTAGCTAAATTAATGAAATGACCTAAACCGCTAACGATGCATCACTCCATTGACAGGACTGTCATTTGTGCGGGTTTCTATCTTTCCTGAGAAATGTAACACTATGTTTCTTTCTTCTTCTTCTTTTCTTTTTTTTTTTCTTCATTGTCCATTGTCTTCGTACTATCGATTTAATTCAGACCATGTTCCTTTTCCGCGTGTTCTCGAAGAGGAAATTTACAGCAACATAAATTACGTGACTGAGTCAAAAGCCGCAGCAGATCCAAAGATTACGTAATAGTCAGTCACTAGGAGCTTAAGTGACAGGGCGCGAATTTTCGTGCAATCAGGATCGACGATGTTGCCGATAAAGACACTTGAATACCGTTTGTATTCATCTTTTGTTCCAACCGTCCTCCACGAAGGTTGTACTAAAATTAAGCGCCGTAAATTTGAAGATTTTAACTCAAAGTCTTCATTGATTTCAAGTTAACAAGGATGTAGGGCCGATTGTTAGAGCAAAGGATGATGGAGGCTCCAAATGACTGCTAAGAAGAGAGCAAAAACCATGCATTCAAACATGTTCAAAGATTACGACGGCGCATTTCGCATTTCGAGGTGAGTATACTTTCCGTAATTTCTGAGTTTTATGTGAAAACTATAGTCTGGCCCTAGATTTCTTGAGGCTTTTGAAGTATTGTTTTACCGTACTGCAACACCTAGAGCGGTTTTCCTACTGTGGGAGAGCGCGATGCGATATCAAAAGCGCATTGTGTGGTGTTTAGCTTTGAAATCTCGAAATTAAGATAACCTCCCTATTTCGCCTCAAATTTTTGTTTAGGCTTGTTAGGAGAATAGCCTGAGAGGAGACAGATATATACGACTAACATTAGAAATATAAATACTGGATATAAGCTGACTGAAATGTTTTGTGAATATTGCCGTTGGTTGTTCGTTTGCTTTTAACCGCCAAAAGGTCGCGTGACATGACGTCAACAGCGAAGACTGCATTGTATCACCTTGTTGTTTTTGCAGACACAAATTGAAGCTTAAAATATTTATAGCGAATTT